GGGAAGGGGGGGGGGTCATTGGTCAGGGTGTGTCCGTGCTGCCCCCAGAGGGCAGAGTTCGAAGTTCGACTCCCCCCCACCTCCCAAGCCCTCTCTATTCCCTCCCCTTTCCCCCCACTGTCGGTGTACAGAGAAATTATTTATATATATGTATAAATGTCTATTTAGTAACGGTTTCCCTCCCCCACCTTGCCCCGATCCCCCCCTCCATGGCCATAGCCCCAGCCCCCTCCACCTTGTACATAATGTATAGGAAAAGTCTATGTATGGTTGAGGGGGGCGGGGTGGCTTCAGAGAGCTGGGGGACCCCTTTCCCCCTCCCCACAAGCCTTCCCTCACAGGCCAAGATCTTTGCTAAAGGCCATTCCCTCCCCAGGGCATTTGGCGTCGGGTGGGAGGGGGAAAAGCATCTTGTTAATTATTTTTAATCTTATTTATTGTACATACCTGGGGCGGGGGTCTGGGGAGGTGGAGGGGGGAGAAGGGTCCCCTCCCTTTGCCCCTCCCACTCCTTTTCTACTGCGATTTGTCTGTGTCTGCCCCCTCCACCCCCATCCCCTTGTCATCTGGATGTGGTTCTATTTTTTATCGGTCTCTTCTCCTCCCTCTCTCTAACCCCTCTGCTCCCATCTCCCCACCACCCTTTGTCTCTTGCTCTTTCTTGGGCTTCTGTACAACTCAACTTGTATACACTGTGTACACACAACCAGCCAAACGAAAACCCAACGGCAAACACTTTATCGGCTGGCTGGAGTGCCTCTGTCCTGCGGCGTGGCAGGGCTGGGGGGTGGGGCCTGGGGGGGGGTGCGTTTGGCATGGGCAGAGAGTCCGGAATCTGGAATGTGGCTTTTCTAGAGCCCTGGAAGGTGGTTGAGCTGGGGTCACTGTTTTCCATTATGTCTTGCTGTGTAACAAATTAGCCCACCCCAAAACTTAATAACTTAAAAACAACAAACATTTATATCGTAGGGTTTCTGAGCTCCAGAATTTGGGAGCTAGTTAGTCGGGTGGTATTAGGGTCAGCCGTGAGGGTGCATCCCTCATGGGTTTGACGGGGGAGGAAGGATCTGCTCTAAGGTGGCTCACTCACGTGGCTGTTGGCTGGAGGCCTCAGTTGCTTCCCATGTGGACTGTGCCATAGGATGGCTTAAGAGCCTTCCAGACGTGACAGCTGGCTTCCCCCAGAGTGCGTGATTGGAAGGAGAGATCAAGGAGGAGGCCACTAGATCTTTATGTCCTAACCTCAGACACTGTGTGTGCTCCACTGCTTTTGCCACACTGTTCATCAGAGGAGGGTCGTTAAGCCCAGCACACACTCAAGGAGGAGAGTCAAGCTCTACTTTGTGAAAGGAAAAGTATAAGAATTTGGGGGTGTTATTTTTAAACCAGTCCAGGCCGTGATGGGTGTCAGGAGTTAACCAGCTTCCTCTTGGCTCCCTGAGGTAGGCTTGAGGGTTCTCATACTTGAGGTAGGGTTCCAGGGCGGGTTGGCATTTTAGAGGTCAGCCTGCAGAGTTGAATGTGAATTCCTGTCTTCTCATGCCTTCCTGGAGACCTCAGAGCTGGTAGAGATGTAGACTCTTGGGTTCTTTCTCAGCCCTGAGTCAGAACCCATTTTTAAAATAAAATCCTGGGAGGATTCTAATATGCGTTGAAGTTTGAGGAACAATGTTCTAGAATAAGAGGGTTAACAATTTGAAGGTCAACTGGTGTCTACTAGAACCCAGCCTATAAGGTAGTGAGTAAGCCATTGTTCTAGATCTTGGATATATCCTCAAAAGGAGACCATTGGTATTCTAGAACTCTGGAGTCAGTGTTGAGAGTGGCTGGTCAGTGGGTAGAGATCCAACAGGAAGTGTAAGGTGGATATTCAGCATTCTAGATTCTCTTCCAGGTGAAACTGAGGAAGAACTCCTCTTCTAGAACCTTGGATATTGGCTAGATCATAAACAATGTGGTCAATTCTAGAGCCCTAGTTTTATAGAATAGAGGACTGCTAGTAACACTGAGGACCATCACAGAGTGAATGCCGTTTACTTTCTAGAATCATGGAATTAAGATGAGTCATTAGTGTCCTTGAACTCTGACCTATAGCACATGCGTGCAGCCTCTGCAAGGGAGTGTCACATTTCTCAGTTCTGGGCTGCCAATGTCAAATTGGGACCAAAGGTCCCTGGGCTGTCCCAGGGTAGAATTTGGAAGAAATGTTCAGAAGGTGAACTGCAGAGGCAGTATCATCCTTCTGGGGACAGAGTTACCTTGTGGTTGGCCTTCAGAATTCAACTGCCCAAATTCATATATCAGCTCCAGCACTAACCAGACAAATTGGATAATAGCTCCACCCTCAGCTTTGTTATCTGTAAAATGGGCTTCTGTCAAGACAAAGGAAAACTTTTTGAAGCTCTGTTCAGTGCATAGCAGGAGACACTGAGAGGTTTGGTTGTGGTCCAAGAGATGGTGAAAAGGGAGGAGAGGCAGAGAACTGCAAAGATGGATAAAGAGGGACAGTAAAACCCCCAAGAGATTTGAAATCATTGACAAGCCCAGGGGAGGGCAGGAACCAGAGACAGGCACACAGTTAACCTAGACAGATGCCAACTGGGCCAGCCCAGCCTCTTCGCTGTTGTCTGATGAGCTTTGGCATGGTGGTGGCTGCAAACTTTCCAAAAATGGCCTGCCAGTTGTCATGTGGGTTTTGTATCTGTGCCTTTTTTAGGGGCAAGCAAGTAGCTTTCGTCACTTTCTCGGAGTGCATCTTGGTCTTCTGAGAAACGAGGTGTCCCAGCCAGAACTTAACCCCAGTAGACAACACAGGAAAGACTAAGGCCTCTGCTAGTGGCGAGTCAGTGGTAGGAGCCGGGGGGAGAGGAGTTAGCAGGGGTCCCCCTGGTTCCTGTTGAGAGGAGCTCGCCCCTGGCTGGGGCTTAGGTGGAGCTGTCAGATCTTAAATGAAACATCCCCCTGTCTCACAGGGGAGGCCTTTGCTGAACAGAGGTTCTTCTGGGGGAGTGGACACTGGGGAAGGGAGGGGAAACACAGCACAATACATCTGAGCCACTCTTATTCCCAGGGCGGAAGGTTGAACCCAGGCCAAGGATTCTGTGATAATGAAACCCGGAAAGGGATCTTTAGCTAATCATTGTCCTAATCTGGAATACAGAGGGACCTTCATGCTTCAAAGACTGGAGAACTTTGTCATCACTCCTGAGCGTGGAGTACCTCCCAGGCGCTGCTTTCATCCTCTGGGTGCAGATTTGGTTCCTAAAGGCCTGTGGCCATGGGAAGTAACTGCAGTCTCCCCCACTTTGCAGATGTGAAAACAGAAGCACTTGCCCAAAGGCACTTGCCTAGGAGGGTCAGCGCCGGATTGGAACCCAGGCAGCCTGCTGCCAGGGGCCACATGGGGTCATCATCCACCCCAGAACTGGGAAGCAGGTTCTGGGGTGGGTGTGAAGGGAGCATTTGGGGATCAGGGCCCAAAAATTCTGTTGAGACTTAGCCCATGTGGGGGTGGGGGGAAGAGATAATTGACTGTTAACGATAGTCCGGTGGGGACCAAAGTTCCTGGAGACATGGACATCTTGGTTGAGATTTCTGGTTTGGTATATTGGAGTTCAAAGATGGTCTGTCTGGGACTTCTCTGGAGGTGCAGTGGCTAAGACTGTGTTCTTAGTGCACGGGCCCTGGGTTTGATCCCTGGTCTGGGAACTAGATCCCATGCCAAAACTAGACCTGGTGCAGCCAAATAAGGAAATATTTTTTTTTTAAAAAGATGCCCTGTCTGATGGGCCTGGGCAACGGGGGAGTGTTGTTCTCCGGTTCTGGCTCTAGTCTTCCAAGTTAGCAGCTGCAGTACAGAATTGGGGGTCCTGATCCCCAAACCGTTGTCACCTTAAGATGCCCTACATTTCAGTCCCACCCCCCACCCCAGGGGAGAGGCTGGCAGGAGGGGTGCCTCCACACCAGCCTCCAGTTGAATTAAAGGTTGAGACTCAGATGTCAGCCCAACTGAAAGCTTTCTGGAACTGAGAACCTGTTCCTTAAACACCTGCCCACCTGTCCCTTCTCACTTCTGCAGCCAAACCGCCTTTCTCAATACACATTGGAGGTGGGAGGCAGGTGGGCACAGTTCGCAGCAGTTGCTGCCTGTCTCCAAGGTCTCAGAACCTCCTGGAACACCACCTCTGTCCAACAGACCTTTCTGCAGTAATGAGAATATTGTGTGTGTGCCCTGCCCATGGCGGTGGGGGTGGGATGTGGGGTGCGGGTAGTAGCCGCTAAGTCACGTGTGAATACTGAACTTTTGAATGAGGCTGTGTGACTCAGGCACTGAGTTTTTACATTGAAGTTAATTTAAATAGCCACATGTAGCTTCCGGCTACCAGACTGAAAAGTGCAGTTCTAGAACGTTCCAGAAAAAAAAGTTTTTATTTACCCCCCCGCCCCCGCCACCAGCTCCTCCCTGCCTGCCTGTGGGAATCTTAGTTTTCTAACCAGGGATCCCTGCCTTGGAAGGCAAAGTCTTAACCACTAGACTGCCAGGGAAGTCCCCACTCAAACATTAATCCTCATCTCAACAAAATGCCCAGTGAGACAGAAAAGGGTGGAATCTGTTAAGAGAGGAAGTGGGGGTCAGACGGCCGGCTCAGCTTGTCCCTGCCCTGAGCAAAGGGTCTTAGATCCGATGGTTCTCGCTGGAGCTAGGCTTTAGTGAGTGTGCACAGGCCTTGGGTTCACCCGGTCCCTTTTATAAAAAAAAAAAAAAAAAAAAAAACACCTTCTTGGCAGTGACGTTTATTTCTCTGGGGAGGGGAGTTATATACAGCAGTGACCCGAGTGCCCGGGAGCCCTCACCCTGGGGCTCGGGTGGGGGAAGGCAGCGGTGACAGAAGGCACAGCATGTGATGGCCCCCGGGGGGGAGGCCAGGAATGGCGGGTGGGGGTGTAGTGTGTCCTGGGAGCCCCAGATGGGGAAGGTGCTCGGCGAGAGCAGCTGGTCCCTACAGGAGGACACAGGGGCAGCCTCTGGCCTTCTTCCTGGGGGCGCTGGGCGGGGAGGGCGGGAGCTCTTGTTCCTGGTACTTCCTGTGGGAAGAGGCTGGTGAGTTTGGGTGGAGTGGGGGCTTAGGGGACGAGGAGGATCATGTGAGGGGGGCTCAGCTCACCGGACGGCCCGCACCAGCTGCTCGAAGGCCTCATCCACATTGAGGCGCAGTTTGGCGGAAGCTTCGAAGTAGGCCACGTGGTGGGAGGCACTGAAGGTGGAGGCTTCAGATCGGGGGACCTGGGAGGGGGGCGGGTGGGATACGGAGGAGTCAGGTGCCTGCTGTCAAGGCTAGTCCCAGCCGGGGTGCGGGGGGAGGCAGAAAGATACACCATGTGCTCTAACTGGGGTAACGTACTGCAGAGGCTCAAGTGAAGAGGAAAAGGACCGGGGTGATCACAGCGGAGGAGCCCAAGGGGCTGGGTGCCATGTAAGTAGGGAGTCAGAGAAGGTGCCGCAGACCTTCCTGAGTTGTCAGGAAGAGAAAAGTCAGGGTGTTCCCGGCAGAGGCCCAAGCAAAGCTCCAAGGCCTTAATCGAAAAGATGAGTTCTGTGTGGAAATCACAGTCTGTGTATAGAGAAATGGTGAGAACGGAGGAAGGAAAGAAGAGGACCACAGGGGTGGGCATCAAGGGCCAGATGGCCGAGCTGGGGTGTGAGCAGAGGGGCAGCTGGAGCGGGAGGTTGACTGGAGGGGAGAAATCCAGAGGAGGCTGAGGCCAGGCTCCAGGTGGGAGCAAGAGGAGGGGATAGGACGGAACAATGCTGGGGCTGGTGGACCATGGGGGAGGCACCCTTTTTCCCATTCAACCACCTCTCCTGAGAACTCCCATATGGGCAACGCTGGGGACTCAGAAGCTATGACTAGTGGGGTGCGTGGCTGCAGACCGAGGGAGTCAGAGGAAGATGTTGACGTGAGGAGCCTCAAAAGGTGTGCCAGAAGGAGCATCCCAGACTGAGATGGGGTCGGGGGTAGGGGGGATCCCAGACCTGGCGCTGTGTTTCCAGATCTGCCTTGTTGCCAACCAACACGATGGGGAAGTCGTCTCGGTCCTTGACTCGAAGGATCTGTGTGAAAAGCTTGCCCACTTCGTTGAAACTGCAGATGAAGCCAGAGGTCCAGCCAGCTGCTCTCTCCCCACACCCCCTCCCTGCCCCCCCATCCCATCACTCTCACCTCTGCCTGTCATTAATGGCAAACACCAGCAGGAAGCCGTGGCCTGCACGCATGTACTGTTCCCGCATGGCACCAAACTCCTCCTGGCCAGCAGTGTCCAGGACTGCAGAGAGAGGGAGAAGGGTCTCCAAGGGGACGAGGGTCCCACCAGCCACCCCCACGAGCCCTCAGCCCTGTCACCCTTTCCCCCACCATCACCCCTGCCGTCCTCACTGTCTAGCCGGGCTGGCACTCCATCCACAGTGCAGATCTTCGTGTAGGAGTCTTCAATAGTGGGGTCGTAGTCAGACACGAAGTAGGACTGGTGGGACGGGGAGAGGACTTCGTTATTGCGGCATCCCAGCAAAGGTGATGTAGCCTGGCCTCCGAGCCCTGACTTTCTCGGCCTCCTTCCTTCGGGGTCTCTTCCCCTCCCTGAGTCTGTCTCTCTCTGGGTCTCTGTGCCTTCCCATTGCCTTCCCCAGACTCTTCGCTCTGTCTCCTGCTCCTCTCTGTTTTTCTGGTATAAAGTACATTCCTGGCATCGTCATTACATCCTGGCTGTGTGGCACTGGACGAATCACTTCCCTTTTAAATCAGTTCCCCTCTCTGAACCTCCCTTTTATTATTTGAAAAATGAGGATAAAAATAGCTGTAGGCTTAATCCAGGGTTTGTGAGATTCAGGGAAAGCCCCTGTTCAGTATTTAATACATCACTTGGGCATAGTAGGTGCTTGGTTATTGGGAGCTGTTGCTGTGCAGAATATCTGCCTGTCTAGCTCTCTCTTCTCCTCCTCCTTTTTCTCTTCCCTCTCCCCGCCCCTTCTCCTCCTCCTCCTCGGGCAGTGTCTCCTCCCAAGGGAAGGTCCCGGTTCCAATCCGGCAGCGGCAAAGCTGCCCCGCCCGCAGGCCGGCCCCTCCCTTCCTGCCCGGTCCCGCCCGCCTCCAGCCAGGCTTTGGGCCAGTTTTGGGTCTGCCCCTGGGTGCAAGGGGCCCAGGGCTGGGGCCTTTCTCTACACAGACAGGAGCTCCCAGGCAGGTGCTGGCAGGGGTCTCTTGGTGGGAGAGCTCTGCGGTAGCATCTCAGTAGCAGACAGACACCTTTCTCGGGTTTCTCTGAGGTTGGGAGGGTTTCCCTTGGCAATGGGGTGGAAGTTTCCCACGCAGAGGTGGGTTTTCAGGAGAGAAGTGATGACCTGGCATCTGGGGGTCTGCAGGCTGCATTCTGACTGTTAGAGGGGTGTTTGGTGAGGGAGGGATCTAGCCCTAGGGGACTGAGGGGTGTGTCTGCAAAGGGGAAGCTCAGTGGTGAGAACTGGGGGCTGAGCTCAGGAGCATCTGGGAGATTTGCCCTAGAATATAGAGTCTAGAGAGTCTTAAAGACCCTGGAGACGCATTTAAGATATCAGAGACACTCTCAAGGAGCAGGTCTCTCTGGGGGTGTCAGGAATCGGGGAGATTCCTCCGTGGAGATGATTTGAGGACTAGCCAGATTTTCAGAGAGGGACTCGGGGAATCGGAGTGGAGGACGACTCAAGATGGAGAAGTGGTTGGTTTTCCTTGGGGAAGGCTGGCGGGGGGAGGGTCTCGGTCTGGGGGGATGGGGGATTCCGAGAATTTGGGATCTTAGAGTTCTCTGGAATGGCCAGAGGGCAGAATCTGACTGGGGGAATCTCAGGGGCATTCTCCTAGTTAGGTTCTGGGTGGCTCAGAGGGGAAGCTGGGATCTGGAATTTGGAGGAGATGGGGCTCAGGGTGAGGGGAGGTGGCACCTGGGAGGGTGGGGGCCCGTGAGAGTGCTTAGGGTCTGGATGGGGTGACTTCTGGATTTAGGGTGCTCCCAGGAGCCACCCAGGGTCAGATTAGCAGGGAAGCGGGGTTCTGAGTACTAGGGATGGGGTGGTGGGTCTCAGGACACAAGTAGAGGGGGAATGTCCCTCGTGTGTGGGGGGGTGGAGGCCCCGAGGGGCTCAGAGTCACATCTGAGGGGATTTCTTTTAAGATTAGAGGGCCTCATAGAAGGGGCTGAGTGATGGATCGAGGGGAAACGGGAGCTCTGGGATCCTGCAAAGGGCTCAGTTCTAGGTCCCGGGGGCACCCCCCCGGGTGAGGGCCCTCTACCTGGATGAACTGGATGGTCAGCGCGCTCTTGCCCACGCCGCCGCCGCCCACGACCACCAGCTTGTGTGTCTCGCTGGGTGGGGGGTCCCCGGGTCCCGGCACCCCGCCCCGGGGCCGCCCCCGCCCTGTCCCGGACGCCGCCCCGCTGCTCATGTCGCCACCGCTGCCTCTGCCGCCGCTACCGCCTAGGGGGGAACCGGGCGGGGCGTAGGGGCGGGCCAAGCTAATAAGGCTACTGCATAATCATAAGCTCCAGCGAGAAGGGTTTGTGTCTCCGGACACTTAAGGAGGAGGCAAGGCCTGGGAAAAGGAGGAGCTATGCTAATAAGGGTAGGCGACCGGCGTTCGCCAAGAAGGGGAATTCCAAGTGGAGCGGGAGAATGCTAATAGAGAGCTGTGCTCACCCGGAGCGGCGCCACGCGCTCTCTGCTGGCGGGCCTCCTGGGGGCGGAGCTATGCTAATAAAGGCCTCATTCTCTCCGCGGACGGGTTGAGAAGATCGTTCGGGGTGGGGCTATGCAAATTAGAAACCCAGGGATGCAGTTTCTTAGGACGCCATCCCCGAGGCCTTGTTCTAGTAGGCGGAGTTCAAGTACTCGCGCGCGGCCGTATATAGGCGCGCTCCGAGAAAGGAGCAAGTCTTGAAGGGAAGCTCAGCCTCCGACCTGGGATCCTAGCCAAGCTCCCGACCCGGATGTCTGGGCTGGATGCTGGAGGCTCCGCCCGCTAAGGGACCCAGGCTTCCGGTCCCTGCTGTCCCAGCCAGGCGGAAGACAGACTGGGAGGGAAGATGGGGCCCTGGAGGGGGACAGCGGCTAGCTGGGCAGGGAGGGGCCGTGAGATCACTGCATTCCTAATTCATGAGCCAGCTCGCTCAAGCCGGGATGCCTGGGTTATGAACGGTCTAGGGTCAAGATTTCTGGGTCTTGAGAGAGGAGAAAACTGAGACCCCAGGGTCTCTAGGAGGGAAACCCAGACCCCTGAGTCCCTAGGAGAGAATAGGGCTGAAGGTTTGAACTCCTGGACCCTTGGAAGGAGGGGGCCAGGGGGTCCTTACTACTAGGTTCGGTAAAGGAGAGAGCTGAGAACCCAGACTTTTGGATTCAGTGGTTGCAGGGGCTAGGGACCGAAAGTCCTGGACCCGAGGGACTTAGTGAACCCGAACACCTGTGTTAGTGTAAGGTATTTGCCTGAGACCAGGAATGGTCTATGGAAGACCAGAGGGTCTGACTCCTGGATCTAAAAGGAAGAAGGGCTCAGACTTCTGAGTCCCATGTGTGCTTAGTCGCTCTGTCGTGTCCGACTCGTTGCGACCCCATGGACTGTAGGCTCCTCTGTCCATGGGGATTCTCCAGGCAAGAATACTGGACGGGGTTGCCATGCCCTCCTCCAGGGAATCTTCCCAACCCAGGGATCGAACACAGGTCTCCCGCATTGCAGGCGGATTCTTTACCGGTTGAACCACAGTCCCATGAGGAGGGAAATATGAGTTCGGACACTCCGCTCTGAGTGAGAGGAGTTTGGGCTTTTCTGTTCTAAATGAGGAAGAGGCTGTAGGGTCGGGCTCCGAGGTTCTAAATTTAGCGAGGACTTGGTATAGGGATTCGGGGATCCCTCCCTAGAATGTAGGCGGGGCATCTTCCTACCAGTCCTGCATATTTTTCCCTACGGCACACTCCGTGGAACTACAAGTCCCTTGCATCTGTCAGGCTGACCGCTCTTACGTCACTTCCTTTTCCGCCGCTCTTTCCGCGCGCGTGCAGGGCACTATGGGGCCTAATCGCGGGCTACCGCAACCCCGCCCACTTCACCCCTCATCCCCTTGCTGTCCCCGCGCGGCAAAGGCGACGCGCGGACTACGCCTCCCGGCGTGCGTCGCGCGCACCCTGCCCATGTGTCCCGTTGGCTGCTGGGAAACTGAGTCCGAAGCCTTCTCACCAGCCCTCGCCGCACCGTGCTCGGTACTTGAAGTCCCGGCAAGCTCGGCGGCGCTTTAGCTCCACCCTTCTCCTCCTTCTGCTCGCGAGCCCCGCCCCATCCCGCCCCGCCCCGCGCCGGGGCCGGAGCCGCAGCCCGAGCGGCGGGGTAAGATGGCGGCGGAGGTCCGGGCAGCGGGGCTCGGGCCTATTGGGGTGGGCGGGGCGGAGTCGGGTCGCTAGTTGTCCAGGGGTCCTCCCGGCACGCCGCAGGGCCTGGAGGGCTTGGCTGGGTGGTCTCGGGCCTGGTAGCGGCGGCAGAAGCTGGCGCCCAGAGAGGGGCCTTCTGAAGGCCCCAGGACGCATCTGTGGTGCCGGGGGGCATCTACGGGGTGTCCCCGAGAGGACTGGGGGCGTCAACAGGGCCTGGACTGAGACTGAAGCTTGCCTTCCATCATATGGCTGCCTTGGGTCATTTCTGTGGGCACTGTTGAGCGTCTTTATGAGCTGACCGGAGGCTAGGGTCTGTTTAGAGGGTTCTGGGGCCATCTTGAGATCTTGTGATATGTCCCAGGGGTTAAAGAGATCTACAAGATCTGGGGAGTATCTGCAGAGCCAACTATAGCGCCTGGGCTGTGTCTGTTAGCGCTGGGAAGTGTGTGCACGGGCTGACCTGAGGATGCGGCTCACCTACATGGGTAGGGGCCATTTAGGTGGGCCTGGAAGAACTCTTTCAGGACTAGGAAGTCTTTTATAGTCACCCAGAGGAGCAGGATGTACCCACTAAGGGAAGGAGACAAATACTGAGATGTGCTGAGAGAGGCGTGGATGGGTCTCCAGCTGTCTGAGGAGTGTCTGGGTGACAGAAGGCTTGGGGCAGTTAGAAAGACCTGGAACCATCTAGGTGGCTTTGAGTGTGACTGCAGGAGTGCAGTCTCTATGCCTGGAGCAAATATGAATGCCTTTGGGGACCCGATAATTGCCTGGAAAATAAGACAATGAAGAGATTTGGAAAATTTGCTGGGCTGTATTGTACTTGCCCTTTCGAAGGTAATTGAAATGCAAAATGTTGAAAAATTATGCATGGCCCTAGGGCTACAGAGAGAGTTAAAACTAGTCCACACTGGTCTGGGAAAGTCCATAGGATCATCTAGAGTCATCTATTGCAGTGCTTCTCAAACTTTTGACCTTGATCTACAGTGAAAAATACATTTTTCATTGAGACCCAGGGTACACCGTCATATGAATTTAGTACTCAAGTCCCATTAATATTTCCATTTACTTGTGCTGTATGGTGAAGAACCTTGTGTGTTTGATTTGCTTTGATGACAAGCTATTTGTGAAGCACTCAATTGCTACCAAGTTCGGGAAACTGATCTAGAGTGACCAAGCAGTGTCTGCAGAGGCTTTTCAGGTCTTAAAAGATGTAAGGAGCCCAGGGTGTGTCTGCAAAGCCTGAGGCATATCTAAATACATAAGGGAGGATCTTTATACCACAGAGGTTTTGAGGCTTTGTAGGTCTGTAGTCAGCTGTCTTGATTAAGCATCTCTTTCCTCTTACTCGACAGACACTGCCCTACGGCGTACATGGTGTGTGCTCCCCCCCCCCCCCCCGCCCCGCCCGCCCCCAGAGATGCTGGAGAGCAGCTCCAGGGCTGGGAACTGTCCAGGGGGCGGCTAATCGGGATAAAGGTGTCTATGGGAATTAGGGAAGGAGGTGCAAGCTCTTAGAGAGCTGGGAAGCGGCACAAGAGCTCTTTGAAAATCTGGTATGAGGCTGACCTGGACCAGGTTTCCTTGTTTTGCAGGTATGCAACCAGCGGTGTGGGGGTGACCACAGTAAGGGAAACCTGGGAATTAAAGGCTAATGATAATTATTGTTACTCTGTGTAGAGGGCTTGGGCTGTTAACTCTATGTCAGGAGGCAGTCTCCTTTCTCTGAGTTAGAGTTTCCTATTGGACCCACTTGGAGTTAAGTGGATGGAGTTGGGGGTTAGAGGTTTTGAAGCTTTCTAGGACTGGATGCTGTTTTCAGAGTAGGAAATTTGATGGTTGCAGGGAAACGTACAGTGAAATATTCACGTTTTCTGAAGCCCTAATCAAGCCCCCCTCCCTGCAATCAGTCTAAAGAATGATCTTTCAACCTCCACATGTAACCTAAGAATTTCTGTGACAATGCAAAGGCTTTAGCCACGCTTCCATACAAGGGGCAGATAGGTGATTGGAGGTTGCTCCCTGTGGTATCTGGTGGACAGCATTCCTGAAATGCGTGTTTTCATTTTCAAGGTGGCATACTGGTTTTGTAGATCATTGTATCCTAGTTCCATCTTCTGTGTATAAATACATTCTGTCGGGTCCTTCATCATAGAGGAAAATCGATGCTTGAGGAAGTGGCATGGCGTTTGAGGCACACGTGAGCACACTGGCACATATCTCAGTTTAGGAAAGGTGGGTTTCCGAGACTTCCGGACACAGTATTCAACATCACAACTCGCCAGAAAAGTCTCGGCTCCTTTGGGGTCTTAAAGTTTGGTTGTGAGGGAAGCTGTGGGAACTGGGGAGTGGGATGTGGACGTAGACTGGGAAGGCTGCCCTCTGACAGAGGAGGCAGCCGAAACTCAGACACACGAAGAGAGTTGCCCAAGCCCCTCCAGGGTCTGCACTGGACCTGGGGCTTACTTGCGCCGGCCGGGGATGAGGTGGGGGTGGGGGGAGGAGGGGTGCTGAAGCAGATGCAGTGTTGTTGGCCACCAAGGCCTTCATGTCCATCGTCTCCTTCTGCCACCTGACACTGTGTGCTGCCCACGGGCCTCTACTCCAGACTCTGCCCTGCTCCACCACCAGGTGACCATGGAGGAAGAAGATGAGTCTCGAGGGAAGACAGAAGAGTCAGGCGAGGATCGGGGCGACGGTCCGCCAGACAGAGACCCTACGCTTTCTCCTCCTGCTTTTATCCTGGTGAGGCTGTCAGACGCCTGGGGCTGAGGGAGGAAGGGGTGGGGAGCTCAGATTCCAGGGCCCTGACTCCTGCACCCCTGGGGGAGGAGGGTTGGGGGCCAGGACTCTTGGCCTGTCTATAGGGTTTGAGTCTGGTTGTAGAGGTGTCTGGAATGGCTGTCTCTCAGCAGCAGAGCTTGTGACCTTCGGCATGCATCTCTGACTGCTCATTCTCTCCACCTTCTTCCCCTTCACCATTCCTTCAGCGGGCCATTCAGCAGGCTGTGGGGACTTCCCTGCAGGGGGATCTGCCAAATGATAAAGGTATGACGGTGTCTGGTTCCTCCGAGACTCCTGCCCCATCTCTGCCTTCTTCCTCCTGCTCTCATTCATATACAATTTTCCGAGGTCTCCCGGGTGCCCCCACTGGTGCTGGCACAGGGAGTCCCAGATGGGTTGGACTCTGTGGCTGTCTTGGTGGGGCTCACTGTCTGGTGGAGGGGAGACACAGTCCCCACACAGAGGTAGCCCAAGGCGGCCCAGCTAGGCTAGTGTGGGGAGAGATGGAGTCTGGGAAGGCTTCAGTGAGGAAGTGACAGGTGACCTTGGTCTCTGAGGCCGTAGGAGCACTGTCTGGGGAAGAGGAGAGCCTGAGAGGCAGCAGGCATGCAATCCAGAGGCCACTGGGCTGAATTGTGGGTCTTCAGGGCTGGCAGGCAGAGGGTGTTGGCAGGGGAGCCCAGTAAAGACTGGGTCACCACAAAGCTCAGAGGCCAGGCTGATCTGTCTGGACTTTATCCCGAGGATGGCTGGGGGGCCAAACTGGGTGAGAGAGTTGGGGCCTCCGAAGAGTGTTGGTGGGACCCAGGTTGGGAGATGGTGGGATGGAGGCCAGGCGAGTAGGCAGATGTTCTTGGTTCCCTTGTCAAGAGCTCGGCAGTCTCTTTCTTCTCTGCTCTACAAGGTCTCTGCCTCTAGTCCCCTGTCTCCAGTCCCCCAATCAATCTCTCTCCAGATGGCTCTCGGTGTCATGGCCTTCGATGGAGGCGCTGCCGGAGCCCACGATCGGAGCCCCGTTCCCAGGAATCCGGGGGGACTGACACGGCTACTGTAAGTAATTAGACGGGGCTAGGTACCTGGCCTCCTGGGGCTGAGGCAGGAAGGTCGCTGGGGCTGGGGACCCAGTCTCCTGAATCTGGGGTGGTGATCAGGGGCAGTGTGGGAGTGTCTGAGGGCCTGGTCCCTTGGGTCCTAGAGGCAGTCAGGTTGAAGGAATTGGTTGGATCCTCATGTGTTTTTAGTGTCTCAGATGTCTGGGTTACTGAGAGGTTGGGGCCTGGGGAAATGGAATGTGTGGTCCTCACATGAGCAGGCACAAGGTGGAGCTCCTCCTGGCCTATTCCAGGTGTTGGACGTGGCTGCTGACGGCCTCCTTGCGGGGCTGGTGAGCATCCTGGATCCCCCAGACACCTGGGTTCCTAGCCACATGGACCTGCGGCCTGGCGAGTGAGTATCTGGGCTGCTGGACTGGGAAAGGCCCCGGCATGGGGGTCGGACGCACCTCTGAGGCTCCCTCCTCCCTGTCTTGCAGAAGCGAGGACATGCTGGAGCTGGTGGCCGAGGTCCGAATTGGGGACAGGGATCCAGTCCCTCTGCCGGTACCTAGCCTGCTGCCCCGTCTCAGGGCCTGGAGGACAGGCAAAACGGGTATGTGGGGCCAGGGCCACCCTGGCAGGGGGATGGCTGAGGCATTGAGGGAGCCTTAGCTGCTGTTGGTAGCAGTGGTAATGCTGTTTCTGTCATTTAGACAAAACCTGTACCTTAACGTCTTTTTCCTGCTAGACTTCCTGCTTCTTTACATGTCGTAAATAAAGCTGAAACTGACATGAGAGCTACTGCCTGGGAGCAGTGAGCACATGTCCAGGGCTCTGCATATCAGTGTAGCTGTGTTAGGAATTCAGCTCTCTGAGATGGGGGCTTCTCAGGCGCCGACTCCAGGAGGAGAAAAGTCTGAAAGAGGGAACGTTCTTCCTCGAGGTGGCACAGGCAGTTGCTTCGTGGTGGTCCTGGGCCCCAGGACCTTCACTTTGTAAAGCCTGAGTTTTTGTCTTCCGAGGTGGGCACCTGTCTGAGGGAGTGTCTGTTCGCAGCCCCACACGCGGTGCGGGCTGAACCGCTGAGCACTGTAGAGCAGAGGGTCTGCCAACTCGGGGTGTCTGAATCCCCACGGGGGATTTGTTAATCCACGGGTGGCCTGGCCCAGGGATGTGTGTGTGGGTGCCCAGTTGCTTCAGTCGTGTCTGACTCTTTGCAGCCCTATGAACTGTAGCCCGCCAGGCTCCTCTGTCCATGGGATTCTCCCGGCAAGAATCCTAGAATGGGTTGTCATGCCCTCTTCCAGGGGATCTTCCCGACCCAGGGGTCAAACCCACGTCTCCTGAGTCTCCTGCATTGCAGGTGGATTCTGTACCCACTGAGCCACCTGGGAATTCTAATTCCCTGGTTTTGCTGCCACTGGTCCCTGGGGCCCTGATGAGAACCCTGGGTTTAGACTTCCCTTCTGCATGTACATACTTACTGGGAGCGGTGGGAAGGAGAGGAAGGCAGGGCAGTGGGTCAGCTGTGAGCAACTTTCTGCCAGAGGCTCGCACACCCTGTGAAGCAGGTCACGTTTTCTTTGTTTCTTTTTTCCCTCACATATGCAAGGTGACTTCCTTATCCACTAGACTCAGGGAGCATGGTGCTGGGGGCCCATCAGACTCTTGGGGGCCCTCAGGGGTCTTTTCATTTCTTTTATTATTTTTAAAGAGTTTATTCATTTAAGCCGCACCACTTGGCTTGCACTGTCAGTTCCCCAGCCAAGGGTCGAATCCCAGGCCTTGACAGTGAAAGCCCAGAATCCTAAGACCTGGAGCCATAGGGGATAAGTAAACAAGTGGGCGGACACTGTTACCTTATTTACTTACTTTCAGTCAGACCTTATTTACTAAACAGATGGTGGGTGGGATTTGGCCCCTGGGCCTTAAGTGATAGCCATAGGTGTGTCTGGATCCTAATAGCCGTCTTCAATAGGACCCTGAGGTTATGATCTGTTGTGCTTTTTTTTTTTTTTAAGGTTTATTTATTTTTTGCTGCACTGGGTCTTCATTGATGCACTCAGGCTTTTTCCTTAGTTGCAGTGAGCAGGGGCTACTCTCTAGTGGTGGTGCGTGGCCTTCTCATTGCGGTGACTTTTGTTGCAGAGCACGGGTTCAGTAGTTGTGGCACGTGGGCTTAGTTGCCCTGTGGCATGCATCAAAGCCCTGTCCCCTGCGTTTGCAGGCGGATTCTTACCACCCAGACCACCAGGGAAGCCCATGGGCTTGTTTTTCTTATCTTAGGTGTTTTTGGGTCTTTATTTGGAATACGTTAAGAATGCAAGAAAAAGAAAAACTCACCTGTAGTCCTATTTTGCAAAAAAAAAAACAAAAAACTGTAAAGCAGCAGATGTTTGGTTCAATTTGCAGGCTTGGTTTTTGCCTGAGGTGGTTGTAATAACAGCTACAGTTGTCAGAGCTCCTGGCCCGAGAGTCCTTGAAGCAGAGATTTTTTTTTTTTTTTTTTGAAGCAGAGATTTTTATCTCTTGTGCCTTGTACTCTCAGTACCCCAAACTGCTCCTAATCGGCGATCAGAAAAAAGTGCTGAATGAATGAGTAGACTCCCATTTCATAGATGAGGAAACTGAGGCAGACAGGGATTGAGTTGCTTGCCTGTGGGCAGGTTGAGGTTGAGGGCTGGAGCCTGGGGTCCAGGTGGAAAGTGGCCCCAGTGCTACCCTCTCAACACCGGGCTTCTCCAGCACTGTCTGTGTGACCCTGCTGAGGTCCCTGCTGGGGCAGGAGCCTGGCTGCTACGTGTGGTTGAGAAAGTGGCCTCTGAACTCTGATGTGTGTGTCTGAACCCTGGCCCTGTCACCTGGCCTGGGTGCAGCCCTGGTCACTTGGCTCTACACATGTGTAACTTGTGGTGTGGAGGCCATGAAGTGCTTCAAAAGCAAGATCTCGGGAAGGCAGAGGAAATAAGGAACGAAAGCCCGCTGCCTGGCGGGGTCAGTGATGTCTGAGTCCTGAGCAGATACTGCCCCGGGGATGGGGCTCATCAGACAGCCAGGGGCACACGAGGACTCAGCCTGTCAGGGCTCACTGGCTCTGCCACTTCGCACCTTCTCAGGCTTGTAGTAGGCCTTCTGTACAATGGGATGGATTCCCACAAGAGGGGCTTGATGCTGCAGGTGGCCCTAGGTTGGAAGCTGGCTCTCCAGTCCCCTTCCATGCCTCCTGTGGGAAACTCTCGTTTCCCACATGTCAGAGCTCTCGTTAGTCAGGGTGGTCTTGGGTCGCTGGCCTGCTTACCTCTCAGGATATGAGAGGGCAGCCTCCAGGCATCACTGACTGAGCTTGCACCAGGATCTCAGGGGAGATCCTCTGGGTCACACTTCCTACAGCCTGGAGCTGTTAGGAGCGTCCTCTGTGTTGACTGCGTGAAGCACTGGGAGCAGTGCCTGCTGGAGCAGTGATGGCTGAGCGAGGGGGCCCAGTGGACAGGGTGCTGACTGCCTGCGGGCCCCTTGCTGCACCGGGACAGGCCCCTGACCTCCCTGTCTCTGCTTTTCCTTTGCAGTTTCTCCGCAGTCTCACTCTTCTCGACCCACCTGTGCCCGCCATCTCCTCACCTTGGGCACCGGAGACGGGGGCCCTGCCCCTCCCCCTGCTCCCTCCTCTGCATCCTCCTCCCCCTCCCCTTCGCCCTCCTCATCCTCCCCTTCCCCACCTCCCCCTCCACCACCCCCGGCCCCGCCAGCTCCTCCTGCACCCCGGTTCGATATCTACGACCCCTTCCACCCCACCGACGAGGCCTATTCCCCACCGCCTGCTCCGGAGCAGAAGTACGACCCCTTCGAGCCCACAGGCTCCAACCCCAGCTCATCAGCGGGAACCCCCTCACCCGAGGAGGAGGAAGAGGAAGAAGAGGAGGAGGAGGGCCTGTCGCAGAGCATCAGCCGCATCTCTGAGACCCTGGCGGGCATCTACGATGACAACAGCCTGAGCCAGGACTTCCCAGGTGACGAGAGCCCAGGCCCCGACCCCCAGCCCCTGCAGCCTACTCCAGCCCCTGGCACACCGCCCCAGGCCGACTCCACCCGGGCCGACGGAGCCACTCGCCGGCGCGTCTTTGTAGTGGGGACCGAGGCAGAGGCCTGTCGGGAAGGCAAGGTCTCCGTGGAGGTGGTGACGGCTGGTGGAGCTGCCCTCCCGCCCCCTCTGCTGCCTCCGGGTGACTCGGAGATTGAGGAGGGCGAGATTGTCCAGCCCGAGGAGGAGCCCAGAATGGCGGTCTCCCTCTTCCGCACCGGGGGCCGGGCAGCGCGGCCCCCAACCGCGGCCCCCCCTGTGGCCCAGCCCCCACCCCCGCCGCCCGCCCCCCGGGCCCCCGAAGGGGACGACTTCTTGTCTCTGCACGCGGAGTCCGACGGCGAGGGCGCCCTGCAGGTGGACCTGGGGGAGCCGGCCCCCGCGCCGCCCACCGCCGACACGCGCTGGGGCGGCCTGGACCTGCGGCGCAAGATCCTGACCCAGCGGCGCGAGCGCTACCGGCAGCGATCACCCTCGCCAGCCGCGGCCCCTGCCCCCGCCGCCCCCACCGGCCCGCCCACCCGCAAGAAGTCGAGGCGGGAACGGAAGCGGAGTGGTGGCGAGGCCAAGGAGGCCGCTTCATCCTCCTCTGGCGCGCAGCCCGCCCCGCCAGCCCCGGCCTCCCCCTGGGACTCTAAGAAGCACCGCTCGCGGGACCGCAAGCCCGGCTCCCACGCCTCATCGTCCACCCGCCGCCGCTCGCGGTCCCGTTCCACCCGCCACCGTTCGCGGAGCACCGACCGGCGCCGCGGGGGCAGCCGCAGGTCGCGGTCCCGGGAGAAAAGGCGGCGGCGGCGGCGCTCGAACTCACCGCCTCCGGCCACCTCATCTTCCTCATCTTCCCGCCGCGAGCGGCACCGTGGGAAGCACCGCGATGGCGGTGGCAGCAAGAAGAAGAAGAAGCGGTCGCGGTCCCGGGGCGAGAAGCGTTCTGGGGACAGCGAGAAGGGCCCTGCCCCGGCGCAGCCGCCCTCCGGCTCCGCCTCCCTGGGCAGTGACCGCGACAGCCGCCGGCGGGGGGCCGTCCCGCCCTCCATCCAGGACCTCACGGACCACGACCTCTTCGCCATCAAGCGGACCATCACCGTGGGCCGGCCGGACAAGTCCGACCCCCGAGGCCCCTCCCCGGCCCCGGCCTCGTCCCCCAAGCGGGAGGTCCTGTATGACTCGGAGGGGCTGAGCGCGGAGGAGCGGGGAGGCAAGAGCAGCGAGAAGGACCGGCGGCGCTCGGGGGCGGCCTCCTCCTCCTCCTCCTCCCGGGAGAAGGGATCGCGGCGGAAGGCGCTGGACGGGGGGGACCGGGACCGGGAGAGGGACAGAGACAGGGACAGGGACAGGTCGTCCAAGAAGGCCCGGCCCCCCAAGGAGCTGGCCCCCTCCTCGGGGCCCCCGCCAAAGCCCCCAGTCAGCAGCGGCTCGGGCTCCTCGTCCTCCTCGTCCTCGTCGTCTTCCCGGAAGGTGAAGCTGCAGTCCAAGGTGGCGGTCCTGATCCGTGAGGGCGTCAGCAGCACCACGCCCGCCAAGGAGGCCTCATCTGCCGGCCTGGGCTCCATCGGAGTCAAGTTCAGCCGAGACCGAGAGAGCCGCTCCCCCTTCCTCAAGCCAGACGAGCGGGCCCCTGCAGAGGTGGCCAAAGCAGCTCAGGGCAGCACCAAGCCCAAAAAGACCAAGGTCAAGGCCAAGGCTGGGGCCAAGAAAACCAAGGGGACCAAGGGAAAGACCAAGCCATCCAAGACCAGGAAAAAGATCCGCAGCGGGGGCAGCAGCGGCCCAGTGACGCTGAAGAAGTCCAAGGCGGATAGCTGCAGCCAGGCGGCGGGAGCCAAGGGGGCCGAGGAGACCTCCTGGTCTGGGGAAGAACGGGCAGCCAAGGCCCCCAGCACCCCGCCCCCCAAGGTGGCCCCTCCGCCCCCTGCACTGACGCCCGACTCTCAGACTGTGGACAGCAGCTGCAAGACGCCTGAGGTCTCCTTCCTGCCAGAAGAGGCCGCTGAGGAGGCTGGGGTCCGAGGTGGGGCCGAGGAGGAGGAGGAGGAGGAAGAGGAGGAGGAGGAGGAGGAGGAGGAGGAGCAGCAGCCGGCCACCACCACGGCCACCAGCACGGCAGCCGCCGCACCGAGCGCTGCCCCAAGCGCGGGATCCACAGCCGGTGACTCGGGGGCGGAGGACGGGCCCGCTCCCCGCGTCTCTCAGCTGCCCACCCTGCCCCCGCCCATGCCCTGGAACCTGCCCGCGGGCGTGGACTGCACTACTAGCGGTGTCCTGGCCTGTGAGTGTCCCCCGGGGGCCCAGGGCAGGCGGGGGCAGACAGACGGGATCCGGGAGGAGAAGGTCGTATGGGGACGAGCTTGGAGGCAGCAGTGGCTGTGTAATGCCCAGCACCAGGAGGGCCTCAGGTGGGCGAGGGCCAGTCAGCTTCTGTTTGGAAGACTCCACGACGTCTCGGTGCGCTGGAAGAGAGCAGCAAGGGCAGCAGGCGGCTGGGCTGCTCCAGCACAGCCGGGAGGGCTGGGCTGTGGCCTGGGGTCTGCGTAGAGGCCGCCTGGAGTAGGCTTGGTGGAGGAAATGGGAAGAATGGGGAGAGCAGGGTCCCTTAGGGGACGCCAGGAGTCTCTGCTAGACTGGGGAGTGGCCTGGAGTCCTGAGAACACACAGGCTGTGGGTGGGTTCTCTGCCTGAGGCTCCCTCCTCCTGGTTGGTCCTGAGCCGGAGACCTGCAGCCTGTCCTGGGAGCCGGGGTGGGAGCAAGGGGGCAGCAGTGGTGGGGGGAGGTTCATCCTCTCCTCTTGCATCAACTCCCGATCCCCACCTCCTGCAGTGACTGCACTTCTCTTCAAGATGGAAGAAGCCAATCTGGCGAGCCGAGCAAAGGCCCAGGAGCTGATCCAGGCCACCAACCAGGTGGGCTTCCCTGGAGAGGAGTCCCCGCTGCCCCCTCTCCTGTCCCCTGCTTCGGCTTAGGAGAGAACTGCAGCAGGCTCTGGGGCAGGGTATCGGCCGGAAGAGGAGCCTGTTGCCTCTGGGACTGTTGGAAAATCAGGGTGGGAACAGGGGTACCAGTTCCGTCTTCCCCTCCTGCTTATCCTCCAACCTTTCCCCACAGATCCTCAGCCACAGGAAGCCGCCCTCAAGTCTGGGGGTGACCCCAGCTCCTGTGCCCACCTCCCTGGGTCTTCCCCCCGGCCCCTCCAGCTACCTGCTGCCTGGCAGCCTCCCCCTGGGAGGCTGTGGCTCCACCCCTCCCACCCCCACTGGGCTGGCTGCAGCGTCTGACAAGAGAGAGGGCAGCAGCAGCTCCGAGGGACGTGGGGACACAGACAAGGTGAACTGGGCTTGGGAGAGGTGGGTTGATGGTGACGGTTCTACCAAGATCACAGGCAGATACTGAGATGCAGGGGCCCGAGGAGAGCTGTGGACTGATGCCGGCAGATGAGGACTTAGATAAAAGGGAAGTCATTCAATTGTAAGGAAGGAAACTTGTCTTTGATTAGACTGGGTGGGAAAGGGGTGCTAGGCAGGTTTTTTAAGAATTTCATGTAGAGATGGGGTGGGGGTAGGGAGATAGATGGATATGGATATAAAGACACTCGTATTTATACATATACCCACTGCAGTCTGCCCCTTGGTTACCTGTCTTTCTTTCTCTGACCCCAGTCTTTTTGTGTAAGCGGGGCACAGGGTGGTATACAAACGAAAAATCAAGTGTCTGTTGGTGGACAGAGGGAGGAAGAAGGGATACAGGGCAAGCAGGGGTTTTTTCTGCTGCTTTATCTGACTCCTGGGCCTTGGCTTCTGCGCCTTTTTTTGGTCTGGATGCTGGTCACTTGTCTTGTCACCAGATGATGGCGCTGTTCAGCCTTTCTGCAGCCCTTGGTCCGTGCCAGAAGGCCATCAGAACAAACCCTTGTATTATGGGCCCCATGTGAAGGGAGATGGGCCACTGCTTTGATGGGACACTCATCTGTGGCCTGTCCATGGGCTGCAGGACAGGGACAGAGTGGGCTCTCTGATGAGCAGCAGATGTTTGTTCCCTACTGTTGTTGTCTCGGCACATCCGAGACGGAGGTGAGCCACAACCCCTTTCTCTTGGCCGCATCTCTAGAACCCACTCCTGTGGGGCTAAGGAGGCCTGAGGAGACGCCCTGGGGTGGCCATGGCTCCCCTAGCAGCTTGCCCGACAGTTGGCATTCTTGTCTCCTGGGAGATGCTGGCCCTGAAGTGAGGGGTATCCTGCCCTCCCAGGCCTCATTTTGCTGCCCCCATCTCTCTGAGGCAGCAGGGAGCAGCCGCCTGGCTCAGGTCTGTGTCCCTAATTGACTAAAGGGCAGTGGACACGTGGATCCTGGTCAGGGATGCCTGGGCCAGCCCAGGGTCCAGCCTGGAGGAAATGCTGGTGACACTGAGAGGCCCAGGCCTGGCCTGGCTGGCTGTGGTTTCTACAGCAAGGGCAGACCCTCAGGAGGACTTCACCTCCAGGAGTCGCTGGGTGGTCAGGAAGTCTGAACCGGCAGGCCAGTGAGTGGAGGCAGAGTTCTGCAGAAACTCACCTGGGCTTTGCTGTCCCTTCTTCCCACCCTGTCACCACCTCCCAGTATCTGAAGAAGCTGCACACACAGGAGCGGGCGGTGGAGGAGGTGAAGCTGGCCATCAAGCCATATTATCAGAAGAAGGACATCACCAAGGAGGAGTACAAGGACATCCTGAGGAAGGCCGTCCACAAGGTGGGCCCAGAGGAGACGGATGCGCGGGGGTGGGCAGGGGGAGACGCAGAGAGGGGTGGGCATGAGCGGACAGGCAGACAGTCGGTGGGTCAGTCCGGAAGGTGAGAGGGAGATAGATTTCCTCCAGCCCACCCAGGCCTGTTCTGGCGGCATCAGGGGACAAGTTCAGACGGCCTGGACCTGAGGGTGGGCCTCTCACCCTGGGGCCCTGGGGGCTGGTGGTGACTGCTGCTGCCCCTTGCCCCCCAGATCTGCCACAGCAAAAGTGGGGAGATCAACCCAGTGAAGGTGAGCAACCTGGTGCGCGCCTACGTCCAACGCTACCGCTACTTCCGCAAGCACGGCCGCAAGCCAGGGGACCCTCCGGGGCCTCCACGGCCACCCAAGGAGCCGGGACCCCCTGACAAAGGTGGCCCGGGCCTGCCCCTGCCCCCTCTCTGAAATTCCTGGCCCCGCCCCTTTCTTCCTTCGCTGCCTCTCTGGAATTCTGGACGTATTTATGGCTCCGTCTCCTCATGTCCCTCCCCCCGTCAGTGGGATGATTGGGGGAGGGCTGCTGCGGGAAAGAGAGCCCCCTGCCCCGCCCCATGCCCATCTCCCTCGCCCCAGAGCCTGTGCCCAGCGCCCAGACCCTTTGTTCGTGCCCCTCCCTCAGTTTCATTAAAGATTTCATGAAATGTTACCCCTGAGCCCCATGATTTTTAGCCCTTCTCAGAGTCCAGTTTGGGGAAGTGTTGGGGAGGAGACTTGGCCCTGGCACCGGGCCTCTTCCTTCGTCTGTAAAGTGGGGGCTGTGAGGATTGGGAAAGACCCGCGGCGGGTGAAGCACTTGGAACCAGACCCAGGAGCTCCCCGGCTGTTGCTCTTGACAGTGGTGGTGAGGGTAGGGCGGGGCGGGGCGGGGTCGCCATGCCACCTGATCACTGTCTGCCCCGGTCAGGGCACCTGGGTGCTATCTGTCTACCTTGGAACTGCCCCAGAAACCCGATCTTTGTCCTCCATTCAGTTGGATTGTTTCTCCTGCTTCCCTGAGGCCGGGGTGATCTAACTGACTCCCCCACGATGGAGGGAAACTGAAGCACAGCGCAGCAAGGGCCACACAGTAAGTCAGGCCTCTGTCAGCCCGTGTTGTTGTTTTTTTTTAAAGTAGAAGTAAATAGAATTGTGTCACATGGGTTGATAGGACCTTGGAAAGGTGGTTTTTTTTTACTTTTTATTTTGTATTGGAGTATAGCCGATTAACAACATTGTGATAGTTTCAAATGGGCAGCAGAGGGACTCAGCCATACATACACATAAATCTGTTCCCCCCCCGTCCATCAGTTCCTATTACCCAGAACCAGGAGTGACGAGGCGAGGTGGGAGCATCCAGCCCATGGGGGTGGGTGAGAACTTCTTTACAACTGGCCCTTGCAGGCCCACACAGAGGGAGCCCCGGACCCAGAAAGGGAAAGGACTGGCCCGAGGTCACCCAGCAGGAGTTGAGACGGTACCCAAGGCCCTTGACAGAGTCTCTGCTTCTGGACGTTGGCTTGAACTGTTAATAGGCAAGATGGATGTTCCAAATTGAGCCCAAAGGCCACCCTCAAAGAGCAGCCATTTTAAGAATGAGACCTGGATTCCGACCTGCCTTGTTTTCCTATTTTGTGACCTTTGTTCCTCTCCAAGATTCAGTCTCTTGGTCTCTAAAAAAGGGGTGACTCACTAGGTCCCAGAGAAGTAAAGTATCAGCTGGCCCCTTGCACAGTGCCTGGCCCTTAGGCCGTGAGCACCTAGGATGTGAGTGGCTTGCACAGGTGGATAAACAGGCCTTAAGGAGGAATAACCCCTTGCTTGGGTCAGAGCTGGCCCAGGGACACTGAACACCAGACACACAGTGATGACCGCGGCCAGAACCAGTTTATTGGTCGAGATGAAGGGCTCGGGCTCAGGCCTCCCCGGCAACCTGGAAATCCATGTCCTCGACCAGGTCCTGGAGGCAGGCCATGTACTGGTCTGAGGTGAGGGAGAGTGGGTGGCTGTTGGAAATGTGCAGGTCAACAGTGGTCTCCAGGGAGGAGGCACCCCCTTGCTGCGCTATGTCTACAAGAACCCTGAGGCACATGGGGACAACCTGTGGGAGATGGGGGAGAAATTGTCAGGAGACACCCAACACCATCCACTACCCAGATGGGGTTGAGTAGACTACAAGTCCCAGCATCCCCCACTGTAACCCAGGATGAACCATTAGGCCCAGGCGTGGGAATTGTTTTCCCCATATTCACACCCAGGTTCAGTTCAGTTCAGTCTCTCAGTCGTGTCCAACTCTGCAACCCCATGGACTACAGCACGCCAGGCTTCCCTGTCCATCGCCAACTCCCGGAGCTTACTCAAACTCATGTCCATCACATTGTTTATGCCATCCAACCATCTCATCCTCTGTCGTGTCCTTCTCCTCCCGCAACCAAGGGAGGCCACAAAAACTCCTAGGGCTAAGGCTGCTGAGGAGTTCCTAGAAGCTAGGGCTGAGCAGCTGGTGCTCAGAAGGACTCTTGGGAGCTGAAGTACCTCACACAGGCTGCTAGGACTTGTAGTCCAGCAACTTCCACATGGTTGGGCAACTCAAAATAGGCTCTGGGAGGAAGGCCATTGGAGGGACACACAGAAGCCCCTGAGGAAGAACTGGCAGTTGCAGAGACTGCCAGAAGAACTATGGAAGTTGTTTCTGGAAGCAACCTCCCTTTCAGAATCCACTCCTCAGCTCCAGGAGCCTGGGGCTGGCAGTACCTTGACCATCAGAAGCCTCTTGATCCACGGCTGGTCCTGGGGCCATGCCTGCCCCACACAGAACCAGAGGGTATAGAGTGGTGAGCGTCTGCTTCCTTCAATGAAGGCGATCAGATCTGGGGGCCGAGGAATAGAGAGTCAGGGATGGGAAGAAGACTTTCTACTTGCCCCCCCCCCCCCAAAACCTCATTAACATCCTTACCTTCTCTCCTGATCAAAAGCCCAGCATACCTCTGCCACCATGACTAGGGGCAGTTAATTTGGGGAAAGCCCCTCCACTTATGCACAAGCTTAAATGTTCCTCCTCCCTCCCTCTCATCAAGATGGGGCAGGGAGGTGAACCCCATCCCCACCCCCCACCCTGCCCAGAGCCCCAGTGTTTGGATGGGGAAACAGGCCTAGGAGGGGCGTTTTACTCAAGGGTGCTCAGTGGTTCTGGAGTACCAGGTCGGTTGCGGTTACTGCTCTTTAACCCCTCAAGGCCACACTGTCCAATATGTAACCATTAGTCATGGCTATTTAAGTTTTAATTGTATCTAATTAAAATCAAATAAAACTTAAAATTCACTTCCTCATTTTCACTCACCTCCTCTAAATACTCAGCATCCACATGCAGCTAGTAGATAGCATGCTGGGCAGTGCAAATACAGTGCTATTTACATCACTGCACAAAGGTCTATTCGGATAGCAAGCCTCTAAAGGATATCTTTCTCCTGCGTCTGTCTTTCCACCACAGTTGGTAATAATGATAACAATTCTGGCAGCTAATTCCCTGAGCAGCTTCTGTATGCTGGGCCTGAGCCCCCTGCCAGCTCCGGGCAGGTAGGGAGAGGAAGGGGACAGTCTGCAGATTTCACAGGTTCCAAGCAGCCCATCCTTCTCCCCAGGTTCAACCACAAGCAGAGCAGCAGGGTCTGAATTCAATCTCCAACCTCCTGACCCCAGAGATTTCCACCACCATTGCCTTGCCCTGCCTCACTCACCTGCTATGAAGGGCCCCAGGTTGAACACACCTCCTTCCCTGTCCTTCGGGACCTCGCCGTCAGGCTTGTGGCCACAGCTGGGGAGGAATTCCTCGCCTACGGCCCAGTACACGTGGCAATGCCCCAGCCTCTGGGCGCAGAGCCACTGCCCGGCCCTCCACAGGGCCAGCCCCCCGCCCAGGCAGCTCAGCACCCGCTGCACATAGCCGGTCACGCTCTGGTCTGTCAGGGATGCAGCGGGGTCCGGCAGTTGTATTGGCTGCCCAGGCAGCATCCTGTCCCCTGCTTCTGACCCCACCAGCCGCAGGCCCCCAGGGCAGAAGACGGTCTGCTGGAAGACTTGGCAGCCCCGGTAGAAGGCAGTCACCTCGAATTCCCAATCTGAGCAGCAGCGGCCATACCGTGAAGGGAGAGAGAGAATTAGAGAGGGTTCTCGACCCAGGTCCTGGCCCCTCCTGCCCCGCAGCTGGCACTCACCTTCTTCGTTCGCCAACAGCTGCTTCAGGGGGTTTTCAGAGAGTCCCGAGTTTGGGCAAAGAGCAGGGATGTCTGAGTCGGGGCTCAGCAAGAGCTGAGGGGGTTTCTCAGAGGACACAGTCAGATTCGAGGGCCCTCCTTCTGGGCTCAAGTCTATGTCACTCAGTAACTTCTCCACAATGTCTTCCTGGACAGGAAAAAAAAAGATCCGGGTGTTTCCATGGCCTTTTCTGGAGACTTCCCACTAACCGAGCTTTGTGTTCAGCCATGTGGAGACCCAGAGAGGAGACAGACCTGAGCTTTGCCCTCAAGGGGCTTCCAGTGTGGGGGAGACACAGCCACCAGCACAGTAAAAGATATACAGCTTAGGTGTATGCTGGGCACTACAGTGGCCCGAGGGGAGCAGCTAATTCCAACCCGAGGATCCGGCTCTTTGCAAGCAAAACCTGGGCAGAGAGGGCTTTCCCTGGTGGTCCAGTGCCTAAATTCCACACCCCCAATCCAGGCAGCCCTGGTCCCATCCCTGGTCAAGGAACTAGATCCCACATGCTGCAACTAAGAGTTTGCATGCCACGATTAAGACCTGGTGCAGCCAAATAAATATTTTTTTAAGAAGACCTGGGCAGAGAAGTCTTAGTAGAATTTCAGAGAGGACTTTCCCTGGCACAGACATCAGCAAGATCAAGGATAGCGAGGTTCTGAGCTTGCAGGAGGCTGAGAGAACCCTGCACAAGGAGGAAAGCTGTCAAATCCTGGAAAGGTGGGTTGGGGCCTTGATTGCCTGGTGAAAGCTCTAAATTTTCTCTTGATGGTGGCGCTGGGAAGCCATGGAAGGGCTGTGAACAGGGAAGGGTCAGGGGCAGACCTGGGTCAGGTTGGGGACAGACTGCAGGGGGGAGAATGGAGCCTGGGGTGACAGTCCTGGGCGAAGAAGATGACATCTGGACAGGCTGGTGAGGACACAGAGAGGAGATGGGGCAGAGGCTGAGGGCAGCATGGCTGGGGAGCCTTCTTACCTGAGTATCAGAGGTACTGTGTCTGCCATTGTTGTCTTGAGAGATATCTGGCTCAGGTATGTCCCTGACTCCTGTGGAGAAAAGTGGGGAGTGTAGTGGCGGCCCTGGGGACACTCGAAATCCCATCCCTCTAAGGGAAGCCTCACTTCCAGCACACCTGAGCTCACAAACTCATAGATCTTGTGCGGGTCGTGGGAGTCCTTGCTGTGGTCCTCCGCTAAACGCAACACTTCCTTCCGGTTCAGGGCAGACCGGAAATTCCTCTTCCAGGTGGGCAGGTCGGGCTTATCCTTCCCAGGAGTATAGGCACCACTGGCTTCAGCCCAGGCCTAGGGGACCAGTGGTGCCAAGATAGTGGGGAAGATGACTCAGACCTTGCTCCAGGGGTCCTAACCCTGTCTCCTCTTGCCCTAACACCATCCTCTCCGCTGGCACGTTCTAACTTGTCCAGTTTCCATCCCCAAATTCTCAGGTTTTTTGTGCCCCAAGTCCCTCTACCTTTTCCCTTCAAAAACCTGTGCTTGCTAAGCCAGCCTTCCAGGTCCCAGTGAATGTCTGCCACCAGCTTGTCCGAGGACACGCTCTGTAATAACCTCGGCCCCTCGCACTCTACCTCGGCTTACCGCCACCGGTGTATCCCAGTTTGGTGGTAAGAAACCTCAGCTTCAGGGCCAAGTCTCGCCTCTAATATTCCAATACCGGCCCTCAGAAATCCTACAACCAAGATTCCCACCCCAGGGGCCTCTGAACCCCCCAGGATGCATTTCCTTCCCTTTCCGGTTCTATTCCCAGAACCGGAGACTCCAGTCCTGACTGCTCTCCCACACCAGTCTGCGGATCCTACCACCTTCTCCCTTTCGGGTTCTAACTCCACCCACTTCCACCAGCCAGCATAAATAGCGGACAGCTCCAGGTGCGCTGGCCCCGCCTTCTCGGTCCCGCCCCCTCTGAGACCGCCCCGTCCCGCCCCCATAGGGGTCCGCCCCTCCCTGCTCGAACGCACCTGGAAGATACCGAAATCCTCCTGCTGGGTATCCTGACGCAAGCCGTGCTTCCAAGGGATGCGGAAACGCGTGCGGCTCTCGTCCAGCCAGGCCACGCCCTCCCACTCCCCTCGGTCCAGCTGAGATATCAGCCAGGGCAGTATCCGAGGCTTTTGGGTTCCCATGGTCTGGCCTGCGCGCAGAGAATACTTCCTGGGCACAGGCGGCCTCCCAGGCCCGCCCAGTCGGAGGGTTCCGCACCCAGACCTCCGTCTCAAGGGCCACATCGCAGGTCTCTAACCTATATTTTCCTAGAGTACAGAAGACCTTCTCCCATCCTCCACGGAGGCTCTCTAAATTCAGCGAGGACTCCCTCCCAAGCCCATTTTACACCCCTCCCCTCTTTCCCCCAGCTTCTGCTGTGTAGATATCTCTACTTCCCTCAATTCCGCCAGTGTAGACCTTCTCTCTTCCATTGAATACCTCTCCCTCCCACCTACATCACCCAGTGCAGATACTCCCAGCTCCAAGGTAGCGCCCTCTCTCTAGTTACTGCGGTGTAGATGCTACTGACCTGCAGACCTCCACCTTCCGCACTTACCCCAGTGAATAGACCCTTTTACAGTTCCGCCCCGCCGCCATGATCCTTTCACCCATTTCCACCGTAGACCATCCACAGTCTCTCCCAAACAACCTCCCCCAGGGCATGTCCTCACTTTCTAGAGTGGACTGCCTCCCATTCGCAGAGTGATCCTTCTCTCCCGAGATCCGCCAATATAGATGCCTCCTCTCCCCTCCTCCCTGCTACTCCTTCTAAGTTTGTTGGTTTGTTTGTTTACAGCCGACCTCGGCGCCTGCTATTGCTTCACTTTTTTCCCTGCTTGCTTCACTTTCCCCAGACTACAACAAAACCCGCCTTCTACACTGTCAATGCAGACCCATCCTTTCTCCGGTTCCTCACTCCCGGACGCCACCAACCCCTCAGTTTTTCCGTGTTACCTAAGTGTCGGGTCGGGGCGCGCAGGGTGCCAGGGCCCAGCCCTGTCTTTGGGGTCCCGTGGCTCTCGAACTCTCAGCTGCACACCCCCACTTCCCGTCAGTTGAGCTTTAGAGGTGGGGCTTCTTTTTCTCTCGATTTCTCGAAATGAATGTCGTTTGGGTGACAGACTCCAAAACCAAAGAGGCGGTTCAGCGAGCCGTGACGTCCGCTCACCTCCCACCCCATGCCCTTCTTAGGTTTTCCGACCATTGGCATGCTGGGAAAGGCGCAAGCAAATTAGGTGGCACCCAGCGCTCCGCCCCTCTACGTTTGAGCCGTCACCAACCTGAGCCAGTGCGCAGGCGCGGGAAAGTTGTCCTAAGAAAGGAAAGTTTATACACGTTCAGAGGAGGAGGAGGTGGCGGCGGCGGGGGCTGAGGACCAGGTGAGCGGGACGTCAGCGAGGGCTTGGAGAGGAGGAAAGAAGAGGGAGCCGGGATCCAGGAGCGGGTAACTCAGTCCTACTCCGACATCCAAGCGTCTTCAGTCTCCCAAATTCCAGCGTGAGTCAGAGTGGAACTACACCTCCCAGCAGGCTGCGCGGCGAACCAGTAACGGACCGAGGGGAATGTTTGCTGCGAAGCCTGCTGGGATTGGTAGTTCTTGATCCTCTACGGACTTCAGTGTCTTGGCATCTTCTTTCAGAATCCAGAAGTCGGAGCCCTAGGGCCCCTTCTTCCTCGGGGACTCAGGGGTCTGAGGCCACAGCCCTAACCCTAACCCTTCTCTCTTAGACTCAGGAGTTCAGACACCCAGCCCTCTTCTCTAAAAACTCAACCGCTCAGGCCCCAGACCCCTCCTCCCTTAGACCCAAGAATCAGAATCCCCAGACGTCTCCTCTCTCAGGATCAAGGTGTCTTTGTCCTTATTCCTCTTCTCTCTCTAGAGACAAGCATCGGGGCCCCAGACCCCGAAACTTCCATAAAAGACCTGGGATCCCCTTCCCTCTTTGGGGACTCACGAGCCCTGGCTCCCTCCTCATTCAGGACTAGGAATTTGGGCCCCAGCCTTCACTTTGCTCTGAACCCTGGAGCCCATCCTTCATTTCCTTCTCTCACAGGTGCCCCCATGGCGGGCTCGGAAGAGCTGGGGCTCCGGGAGGACACGCTGAGGGTCCTAGCTGCCTTCCTTAGGCGGGGTGAGGCTGTGGGGTCTCCCATTCCGACCCCACCCAGGTAAGAGGAGTTACCCTCCTTCCTCAGGGAGCTGCATTTGGGATGGACCCCTCTCCAACTCTTGCTCCTGTACTCAGTGTCTCCTTCCCCGCCTTTTTATATCTCTCTCTCCTCCTTGTCCTGGGGGTTGCAGGGAAGGGCTCTCAATGGGAGGACAAAGGGACTGCTTGTGAAGAGCTTCTGGGATCACTCTCTGAGGTCGCCTTCCCCAGGAGCCCTGCCCAGGAGGAGCCAACAGACTTCCTGAGCCGCCTTCGAAGATGTCTTCCCTGCTCCCTGGGGCGAGGAGCCGTTCCCCCTGAGTCCCCTCGGCCTTGCTCCCTGCCACTCCGGCCCTGCTATGGTTCAGAGCCTGGTAAGAGAGTTCCCTCAGTCATCCAAGAACTGACAGGGTCAGCAGCTTAAAGCTGCTAGAGGGGATGAGGAACTAGTTCAAGATCACCCAACTAAGGGAGTAGCTGTGGGGGGCCCCCAGCACCTACCTTCACCCTTGACCCCCAGCTGGACTGCTGTCAGTTCTGTGAGCGGCTTTAGGAGAGCTTTTGGTCCCTCTCTGTTATCTCTCTCTTTCCACATGTGCTTCCTTGCCCCTAAACTTTTATAGCCACCAGTACTCCCAGTACTGGATTTAGAAAAGGCAGAGGAACCAGAGATCAAATTGCCAACATCCACTGGATCATCGAGAAAGCAAGAGAATTCCAGAAAAAAACATTCTGCTTCACTAACTATGCTAAAACCTTTGACTGTGTGGATCACAACAAACTGGAAAATTCTTAAAGAGATGGGAATACCAGACCACCTTACCTGCCTCCTGAGAAATCTGTATGCAGGTCAAGAAGCAACAGTTAGAACCAGACATGGAACAACGAGGGAAAGGATTCCCTCAAGGCTATATATTGTCACCCTGCTTATTTAACTTATATGCAGAGTACATCATGTGAAATGCTGGACTGGATGAAACTGGAATCAAGATTTCTGGAAGAAATATCAGTAAGTTCAAAAGTGCAGATGACGTCACCCTTATGGCAGAAAGTGAAGAGGAGCTAAAGAGCCTCTCAACGAAAGTGGAAGAGAAGAGTGAAAAAGCTGACTTAAAACTCAACGTTCAAAAAACTAAGATAAAAAAAAAAACCACCTAAGATCATGGCAAATAGATGGGGAAACAATAGAAACAGTGCAGACTTTATTTTGGGGGGCTCCAAAATCAATGCAGATGGTGACTGCAGCCATGAAATTAAAAGACGCTTGCTCCTTGGAAGAAATGCAATGACCAACCTGGACCATAAGCAGAGACATTATGTTGCCAACAAAGGTCCATCTAGTCAAAGCTATGGTTTTTCCAGTAGTCATGTATGGATATGAGAGTTGGACCATAAAGAAAGCTGAACACAGAAGAATTGATGTTTTTGAACTGTAGTGTTGGAGAAGACTCTTGAGAGTCTCTTGCACTGCAAGAAGATCAAACCAGTCAATCCTAAAGGAATCAGTCCTGAATTTTCACTGGAAGGACTGATGATGAAGCTAAAGCTTCAATACTTTGGTCACCTGATGTGAAGAGCTGACTCATTAGAAAAGACCCTGATGCTGGGAAAGACTGAAGGCAGGAGGAGAAGGAGACTACAGAGAATGAGATGGTTGGATGGCTTCATGGACATGAGTCTGAGCAAGCTCCAGGAGTTGGTGATGAACAGGGAAGCCTGGCGTGCTGCAGTCCATGGGATCACAAAGAGTTGAACACCACTGACTGAACTGAACTGAACTGTACCCCCAGTAGGGAGGCAGGAGACCTGATTTTCAGTCACAATTGCCTGGCCGTTTTGGTTACATGAATCCTTTTCTCCAGTAGCAAGGTAGGAATGAGGAGCGGTGGGAATTGGACTTGATCAAGAGTGATAGGTAGGTTTTTTCTCATACATGAGCCTGGGTAGACTAGTAATGGCTACTGGAGGGGCTTGCTTGAAGAGGATTTCACAGCTGGGTAGAAGAGTTCTGTGATGAGTTGCCCGAAAAGGACAAGGGATAGAGGGGGATGCTAAGGGTCATTAACCTGGGGTATGCCATGTGTTTGCCTTCCTTCGATGGGATAATCTTCAAGGTCCAAACACTCATAAGTCAGCCTGGGGAAGAATGCAAGGAGTTTTTTAATCAGGTTTGCTCATTAGTCTTCAGTTTACCCCACTCTGAAGTAGAAATCATTGCTGCCTAGTAAGATGATTGGGAGGAGAGAATATATAAGTTCCCGATGTTGGGGCCAAAGTTCCTGAAGACCCATCATTGGCTCTTTTCATTCCAGGCCCTGCTACCCCAGATTTCTATGCCCTGGTGGCCCAGCGGCTGGAACAGCTGGTCCAAGAGCAACTGAGATCCCCACCTAGTCCAGGTGAGGTGCAGAGGGACGCTGGAGAAGGATGCAGGTAGAAGGGTCACCAGGATTCTGCCCCCAGCCAAATTCTTTTCTGCCTCCAGAATTACAGTGTCCTGCACCCACAGAGAAGGAAGCCCTGCTTCGAAAGCTGGTGGCCTTGCTGGAAGAGGAGGCAGAAGTCATCAATCAGAAGGTGATGGGTGGTCTATTCCCCCTTTAGCTAGGATAGGAATTGTAGCATGGTTCCACACTAGGACCTGAAGCTGGATCTGCATTCTCACTGGATGGTTGGACAGGGGACGGTGGGACAAGGCTTCAGTGAAGGGGTGAGTGAAGGGTAAGCCAGGGCAGTACCTTAAATTACTGCCTTTAATTGATCGCTAGAGGAGGGTGGCTTATAGGCAAAGGACTGTGGCCACCGGAAACACATTCTAGGAAAGAGATTGGGACCAGGTGAGGAAGTAAGGGACCGTATGGTGATGGGAAAGGGGGGGAGAGATGGTTTGAAGCTGCTGATGCTGTTTAGTTGCTAAGTCGTGTCTGACTCTTAACAACCCAATGGACTGTTACCCAAAGGCAGCTGTCTAAAATCTGAAAACCTGATTGACTATATAGGGCAATGACTTAGAATGTAGGAGAAATGGACTGCCAGAGGGAGTGGGCTTGTGGCTCTGTCCTAGAATCTAGTTGGCTCAGGAGCTTGGGCAAAGTGTACGGTCTTATTCATTGTATGGTAGAAGGCAAGGTCACTGTAGACACTGGCTTGGCCTCCGGGGTCTCTGAGAAGCCCACAGAAGCGTCGCTAGAATATTAGCAAGCTAGAATACAGCTGGTATAGGGCTTGGCCCTGATTGGCTGTTGGGGCCTTGGCAGGGGCGTGGCTTGGCTTCGCCGGTTCTTGACCATCTTTCTGGGAGTAGCTCGGCGAAGGAGACCTTATAGTCTAGTTTGTGATTGGCTGATGTGCTGGATAGGGGCGTGGCCTGGAGCGCCAGTTACACCCAGAACTCGCTTAAGGCCACGCCTCCCAGCTTCCTATTGGCTGGCTACGAGGGTGTGACTGAGGCTTACCAGGGCTCTTCCCCTCCCTGTCCCACAGCTGGCTTCAGACCCAGCCTTGCAGCGCAAACTGGCGCGCCTCTCTGCCAGTTCCTTCAGCCGCCTAGTGGAGCTCTTCTCTAGCCGAGAGGTCAGCCCTCGCCCAAGCCAAGCACTACCGTGCCCTGGGCCTCCGCCACCTTCCCCGGAACCCCTGGCCCGCCTGGCCCTGGCCATGGAGCTGAGCCGGCGCGTGGCTGGGCTGGGGGGCACCTTGGCCGGACTCAGTGTAGAGCATGTGCACAGCTTCGCGCCCTGGATCCAGGCCCACGGGGGCTGGGTGAGCCGCCAAAGCCTCTCTGGGCTTCTCTTTGCCTAATTGTCATTGTATGTGTGTGTATTGGGGGTGGGGTGGGGTGGGGTCTTAACCTTCCTTTCAGACATCACGGCTGTTCTCCCGCTTCCACCGTCCGTCCTTTCTGTGTTTATTGAGCACTTACTGTACACCAGGCACTGCCGTGATAACTGCAGATGCCCTGCCCAGCTTTGCTCACTCTGGTATACACAAAAAGTTATGAGTCAGAAACAAATTTCCTCACCTGTAAAGGCAAGAGAACTCTGATACCTACCTCAAAGGGTTGTTGTAAGGATTAAAATGGGATCATCCTTGTAGGTACTTGGTCTTTGTGGGATGACTGTCTGTGCAGCACTGCCTGCGGGGTTACCTTTTCTCCCAGTATCCCCCTCCCTTGCTTCCTCTGCCCATCTGCTCAGGTATCACCCCCAGTGAGGCCTTCCCTGGTCTTCATTTAAAGTCTCAGTCACCCCCACACCCTCCCACCTTACCACGCTTGCTCACTGCTTTAAATCCAGCGCTGGGCTCAGAGCTGGATGGGGCTCTTGTGTACGGACTAAATGACCTTTGGCTGCTGTCCCCGTCCCCTTGAACATCAATTTCTGGCTGCTCAATGGACACCATCTCATTTACCGGCCCCATCACTGCCAGGCTGTCATTGCTTCACAGACTGGCAGAAGCTGGCTAGGTGTGTTTGAGGAGCAGAGACGCAACCAGTAGGGCTGGAGCAGGGTGGGTGAGGGGGAGAGGGTGGGAGATGAAAGCAGGAGAGGCGGCCAGATCGTGCAAGTCTTTAGGCCTTGTGATCATGCTTAAGAACTTGCACATAGAGTGAGCCAGGAATTGTAGGAAGGCTCTTTGGAGAGGAGGGATGCAAGCTGACTTGGGTGGTTACGGGCGCCCTCTGGCGGCCTTATGGGGATTAATGTGGGGGCAAGGGCGGAAGTGGGGAGCCCCAAGGAGATGCCAGAGCTAGTCCAGGGAGGAGATGAGGGTGTATCAGACCAGGGTCGGGGCAGTGGGGAATTGTGGATTTAATCTGGAAATAGACCTAACAGATTTTGCTCACGGAGTGAATGGGGAGACCGAATGGGAGACAGGAGTCTCGGATGATGCCGAAGATGCCGACCTGAGCAGCTGCAGAGCTACATCTGATGTCCCCTGAGACCAGGAAGAGCAGCGTGGAGGGGAAGGTGGGGTGCAGGTTTGTGGAGGAGTTAGAGGTGATCGGAGGTGGTCCAGTTAAGGGAGAGAGACCCTCCAGACCTCAATGCAAGATGATGACGGAACAGTGGATATTAGGGTCCAGAGCTCACTGCAGAAGCTGGTTTAGTCGTAAAAACATTTTATTCTTAAGGAATGATAACAGGCAAGTCTGGCCAGGTACCCAGGCAAGGCCTTTAGTGGAATGATCCCATCTAAACCCCTCAACCACCTTATAGGATTCGATTATTATCCTGGTTTTATGGAGGCTGAGGGAAAGTCCTTTATTCAGGGTGGGGAATTGGAATTAGGACTTTAATGCAAAGTCAGGGCTCTTTATTGTTAAAGCTCTAGGACTCTGTTCCCCTTCTTTCAGTCTGTCTCCCCCAATGGTGGGGCTCTGTCTCTCCTACCCACCCCCAGGACCCTGTTTCCACCCACCCCAGGTCTCTGATCCTTTCTTGGGGTCTCCATCCCTCACCTCTCATCCCTGTCTGCCTCTCACTGGGTCTCTGTCCCCTCCCCCTCTCTGGTTCCTTGCCTTCCCAGTCTCTGTTCTCACTCGGCCAGTGTGGACACAGCTGTGAGTGGAGGACGCCTCTCCACTTACGGGAATCCGCCACTTTTCCCTTCCAGGAGGGCATCTTGGCAGTTTCACCTGTGGACTTGAACTTACCCTTGGACTGAGCTTTCCCTCAGAAGTTGCTGCAAGAAGTTCCCTCACGTCCCTGCACTCTTTCCAAGCCTTCCTATTCCACTCAGGGCTGTGGGGTGGTGCCCGCCCTCTGTTTTTTGCCAAAAAAAAAAAAAAACTGTTTAAAATGTTTTCACATTAAAAACTTTTTCAAGTATTTAATTATGTGTTCTCTCTCAAAAACTAAAGGACTAAGTAGAGGAGATTTGGTTCAGGGTTCTAGTTTAAAAATTGGGGAAAGAACCAATTCATTCCTTCTGGAAATATTCATTTGGGTCACCTACAAACTCCTGTCACCTGAACAGCTATCTCCAAAACAAAGCCATGCTCTTCCTTCACGGGGCATCCAGAACGCCATCCATTTCTCATTTTTCTCTTCACACTGCTCCTTCTGAGCCTTTTTTTGCTGGTGTCTCCTCATCTACCTGTCTACCAGAGAGTTGTCACCTTCTTAGGGCTATCACCCCCTTCACTGAATTATGTCTGTAAATGCCTAAAGTGAAATGTACAGGATTACAAAGGAAGCCAAGTGCAGTCAAGCCTCGGTATTCACAGATTCCATATTTTTGAATTCGCCTACTCGTGAACATTTATCTGCAGTCCCCAAATGAATACTCACATGCCTTTGCACTCACTGGTAGGTGTGCCCGTGCTCAGAGCAGTAAATGATTGGACTGACCCAGTGGGCACCTTTCAGCTCAGGTCAGGCGAGGCAATGCTGCCTTCTTGTTGCAGCTCTCACACTGTGTACAAACATCCTTTCCACAGTCTATTCAGTGCCACACTTTTTACATTTCTGTGCTATTTGTGGTGATTTCGCTGTCCCAAAGGGCCCCAAAGCATAGCCCGAAGGTCCTAGCCAGCATTCTTAAGTGAAGGAAGGCTGCCATGTGCCACAATTAAATACAGTTTGTTGTAGATCATTTTTTTAATAGTGCTGTTGGCTGCAAGACCAATGTGAATGGGCCCACTATACATTAAATAATGTGTCTACAAACAAAATACACAGAAAACCTGATTATATTTTGATGGGTTGAGGAAAGTGTTGTGACAAGACACTTGTGGCAACCTGACCCTGTATTTCCCCCAGGATCAGGGGGGAACGGGGTGTTCGCCAATTCAGTGTTTGTGATGACTTTGTGGGCTGTAACTAGTGCAAATAAGGATGAAGTGTGGAAATAAAGCTTTCAAGATTAATATAAAAATTAGTGGTATAGTAATAGACATGCCTCCTCATTAATTAAAAACACCTAGGGTGGGTCTCATAACCATGATTTCTAAGTAGAGCAGGAATGACATTTGGAGATGGATCAGTTATGGTTGTGTCACAAATCATATACGTTTAGAGGCTTATGAGAACACATTTGTTAATCTCAGTTTCTGTGTGGCAGGGGCATGGGTGCAGCCTAGCAGGGTGCTTGGCTCGGGGTGTGGCTATGCTGCTATCAAGGGCTCACCCGAGGCAGGGGGCCTCCTGCCAGTGCTTGTTCTAGCAGAATAATTGTGGCCTCATAGAGACACCCGACTCTTCCGTTTGACTCAGGTCTTCTAACCACCTTTCTAATCACACCAGCTCCCCATGATCTTGTCTATTTCGTGGTCTGTAACCTAATGCAGCACTGGCCAACAGAAATATAACATGAGCCATATGTGTTATTTAAAATACAATAGTAGCCCCATGAAAGCAGTTAAAAAGTTAAATTAATTTTAACACTAATTTTTATTTACCCCACTTATCCAAAATAGTCATTTTAACCTGTAATCAATACAAACAATATGCATGAAGTATTACAGATTCTTTTTTTACGTGACGTCTTCAGAATCTGCTGTGTGTTTTACAGCCATAGCATATCTCAGCTGAGACTTGTCATGGCCCATTCCTCAGTTGTCCCATGAGGTTGCCATCTTGGAGAATGCAGAATTTGACACTTGACAACTCCTCCAGTTTTGCTTCCAGCCCAGACCTCCCCCCTGTACTCTATGTGGTGTGGAATTCGCTCAGTCATATCCAACTCATTGCGACCCCATGGACTGCACCCTGCCAGGCTCCTCTGTTCATGGAATTCCCCAGGCAAGAATACTGGAGTGGGTTGCCATTCCCTTCTCTAGGGGATCTTCCCAACCCAGGGATCGAACCCCGGGTCTCCTGCATTGCAGGGAGACTCTTTACCATCTGAGCCACCAGGGAAGCTCCTGTACTGTATACCCAATGACATTAATTTATGCCCTAATGTTGTAGAGAGAATGTGTCATAATTTTTCCTTCTTCATAGCAACACGAGAGCAAAAATAATTGATTGGGTTAATTGGAAATCAGGAGAAAAAAAAAGACAAAAACCCTGCTGAAACATTTGGAGAAATAGAAAAGAAAAAAAAATTCCACACAACATACAATGTAAGGGTCAAGATGTCGGTTCAGATAAAGTGTCTGCTTTTCAACAGACAGCATTAAGAAAAGGAAAAGACAGGTCACAGATTGGGAGAAAAATGTAGTCAGTATACCTGACAGAGACCTGTATCTAGAATCGACAAAGAATGTTTACAACTGGTGAATAAGAAAACAACTCTGTTTGCAAAAATACACAAACGACTTGAGCAGACACTTGACAAAAGAAAATATACAAATGGGGGAACTTCCCAGGTGGTCCAGTGGTTAAGGACTCGCCTTCCAATGCAGGAGATGTGAATTCCATCCCTGGTTGGGAATCTTGCAGGAACTACTGAGCCCACATGCTCTGGAACCTGTGCACCGCAACTAAAACCCGAAGCGGCCAAATTAAAAAAAAAAAAAAAGAAAGAAAGAAAACATGAAAATGGCCGATAAGCACACGAAAAGGTGCTGAACCACATTGGCGGTCAGGGCAATAATGTAAGTCACAACCAGGAGATAATGTCTTCCTACATAGGAGAGTGGTTAAAGTTATAGACTGATTTTATCAAGTGCTGGAGGGGATGCGGAGCACCTAGAATCTCACGCATCACTGATGGGAATGCAAAATGGTAGAACACCATAGGAAACTTTGGGGCAGTTTCTTATCAAGTTAAACATACACCGAGCTTAGGACGCAACCATGTCTTCCTAGGTTTACCCAAGAGAATTGAAAGTGTACATCTACAGAAAGATTGGGACATGATGGTTCATCGCCACTTTATTCATAACAGCCCTAATCTGGAAACCACCCAGATGTCCAAGAGGAAATGTGATCCAGCCATACAGTGGAATACTCCTCAGCAATAAAAAGGGTTGGACAATCGTTATATGCGACATGAATGAATCTTGAAAACATTATGCTGAGAAAAACAAGACAGGCACAAAAGAGCACAAACTTTTATAGGAAATATTAGAAGCTGAAAAGATACACTATAGTAACAACACAGTGATTGTTTCTGGGTTGGGTGGGAGGGCGGTGTTGACTAGAAAGGGTGGTGGAGGAACTTTCTAGGGTGATGGATACATTCCACAAGTGGCAGTTACCTTCATTCAACGAGTAACTCTACAGGTCGTGGGAAGCTACCTGGAGGAGGTGGCGACCGAGTTGTGCCGGGACTGACTCCCGATGGCCAGACGAAGCAGGTGGGTGTTCCCAGCATGGGTAGGACTTGGCAAAGGCCAAGTGCTTGAGTGGGGTCACTGGGTTTAAAAAACGTGGAACAATTAAGTAGAGGGCCAGAGATTCAATACCTCGACGCCTGAGTCCCATTTCTGACTTGTTTCGGGACCCCGGACAAGACCTCCCTCTCTTTGAGCCTCTCACTGCTTCAATTTCCCCTCAGGAAAATGAGCACAGGCTCCCTTATTCCCCCTTGGATTCCCTTACAAGCTGGGAGAAGCCACAGAATGGACGATGAGTGACAGTTTGCTTGAGCCAATCTCTGGAGACTAAAGCCTGCTTTCCTTTCTCGTGGGCCAATCGTCACCTTCTCCTTGAGGCCAGCCGCTTGGTGGAGGCAGGCCGAAAGCCTCATGACGTCACATTGTTAATAAACCAATAGCAGATATTAAGAGGCGGGTACTTTTGGTGATAGTTCTATTTCAAGATGTCCGCTTAGCGCAGGGTCCGCCGGGAAGCTTTGAGGCGGTACTGGAGAAGGGGCGGGAACTCCCAGTAGATTCTGCCCAATCGTCAGTCGCGCTTCTTGCGATAGACGGGCAATCTTTCCCATCCCTGTCGACTTAAAGGGGGCGGGGTTCGGCACGCCAGACTGGGCGGGCACTTCAGCTTTGATGGGCGCCTCCTTCGCCCAATGGGTAAATGGTATTTCCAGACGGGTCACCTCCGCTGCCAATGAGATCTCCTGGCGGGGTCGCGGTGGGCGGGCCGTGGCCCCCTCCGGTATAAGGCGGTCCCGGGGGAGTGCAGAGAAAGGGGGGGGTCTCGGCGGCCGGAGGAGGAGTAGACGCGGGTGAAGATGGCGGCAGCCGAGGCCGCGAACTGCATCATGGAGGTGAGGGGCCAGGAGCGCCGCCGGGGGCGGGGTGCGGCTTGGAAGTCGGTGTTTTACGCCTCCGCCTTGGGGAAGGGGCTCTGAATCGCCGGATTGGGGTTGAAGGCCCCTGGCCGTACGGAGGGGGGCACCTCGTGCTCCGTATCCGAGGATACCGTTTGAAGTGCGAGTTCCCTAGCTTTCGGGGGCTTGAGGCGCCACGCCGAGCCGAGGGCCTACTGCCCACTCCCACGTGGAGGAGGGCTGGGGGCGCTTCCGGCCTGGCCCCCACGTGGCCGCGGCACGGTGGGTGGGGAGGGGGTGTGCCGTGCCCGCTGGCCCGGCGGGTTCCACGTGCGGGACAAAGGCCCCGCCCCCGGCCGGGGGAGGGGCGCCCCGGGGGGGGGGCGGAGAGGAGGCACGGACCCTCCCTCCGAGGCCCCCTGCCCTCCTCCCCGGGGATCGTGACAGGCACCTCGGGGTGGAACTTAACGTGGGGACCTCCGCGCAATAATGAGGCTCTTGGGAGGGGCAGTGTGTTTCGACCCTCAACAAACCCCTTCCTGGGCCCAGGGCATCTGCTTAGGCATCGGTCCAGGTTTCGTGCACTCTTGAGTTGGGATTGGAGGAAGATGAAGAATTGGTTCCCTCTGGGACCCCCCACCCCCACCCCAGTTTCCTGTCTCTGGATTCTCCCCCTCTTTGGGAGCTGGGGGGATGGGGCATGCCCCTGTGACCTCCCTCTGGTCGATGGGGGGGCATCGAGCTGAGGAGATCTTTCCCGATTAGGCGCTGTGCACCCCCTTGTGGCCATTTCTGGGTGTGTGGGAGGGACATCTTTTTCATGGGGCGTGTCTCTAAGCCCCCCTCCCCGTCGAAGCCCGCCCGGGCGAGGGGAGGGAGAATCTGTCCTGGGAAGGGGGTGTGAGGCAGTGAAGGCAGCGGATTTACCCCCTTCTGACGCTTCCTCTCCCTGGGGTATTTGTGAGGGTGGGAGTTGACCACCTCCTTCCTGAAACCCTGTTTGAGGGTCCTGAGCCTGCTTGCGTGAAATGGTGTCCCGTGAGGTGTGATTCTCTTGCAGCTGTGTGGGGCTTGTCCCGATGCTGTGTCTCAAGCGCTCTGGGGACATGTCTGGCGGTGATGTCCGTGGTGTAGAGAAATGGGCCCCCGTGGGAGGTCCCCTCATGCGCCGTCTTTCTGTATCCGCGTCATTCACTGGCTTGGGGGGGATGGAGGTGGGGCTTGGAGCCCAGGGGTTATGTCTGATTTCACGCTTCGTGGCGCCTGGAGAGTGCTTGCATCTGGAAGAGCTGTAGTCTGTTGGGCCCTCTGTACTCGCACCTCTTAGCTTGTAGCAGTCTCAGGAATGGGAGATGAGGTCCCACGATGCATACCTTGGGGGGCAGCCCCCAGGGGTCACTCCAGTGACTCCCCCTTGGCTCTCTGCTAGACGAGGGCCTTCTTGGTTGGAGGAAATATCTTCCTCAGAAGTGGACCCAGGACTCGGCCCCTCCCCGGGGGAGTTTCAGGGCCTGATATGGTGGTTCGAATGGGGAGTAGATGGGCTTGAGGGTCCAGGGTCTGGCCTCCTCCGTGGGACTCTGCCCTCCTGCGCAGAGGATCATAATCAGGAGATTGGCCTTGTTTTGTTTGGGACTCCCTGAGTCCCAGGCAGGAGCTAGCGGCCCGCGTGCCAGCTCTGGTGGGGGCGCCCGTGTGCCACACCTCCTTTCTGGAATCCTCTCAGATGAGACACTGTTTTGCAGAGGTGGCAGATGCCCAGTGGGTACACACTGCCAGTCCCCTTCGCCCAGCTACAAATCGTACCCCAGGATGAGGCTTTGTGTCAGGAAGTGTCATCTAATCTGGGGAGATTAGACGATGAGGGGGAGTGACAGCTGGCAGTGCCCTTGTGCCTGGCGGGTGCCAGTTCCTCTGGCCTGGATGGGGGAGGCGTGTGTGCTCAGGTGCCTGGCCCAACAGGGGCAGTGTGGGGGCAGGCCACCATCTCTCCAGCCACAGCTGGGATAGAACCCCCTCCCTGCTCCCCCCACATCTCCCCCACCCCTGTTGAAAACAGCCTTGCCTCTTTACTTGTTCCTTCTCCCACCACTACTCACTAAGGAAAAGCAAAATTGTAGGAAACACCCCCCCCCCCCGCCAAGAGCCCGGGTCGCCTGGCCTGGCCCTCCCCTAGCCGCTCCCGGTAGCTAATCCTTTCTCCCTGTTACTCTCTCCTAGAATTTTGTAGCCACCTTGGCTAATGGGATGAGCCTCCAGCCGCCTCTTGAAGAAGTAAATATCCTTTTGTGAGACCTCTTCCCACATGCACATATCTCCTCACACGTCAGGCCCTTTCTAGTGGTCTAACTGTGATCCCTCTGGCTTCAAACCACTTTACCCTTTGCCCCCAAAACACTTAGTCCAGACTCCGTCCAAGTTTTGGCCCCCACCTGGCCTCCCCCAATACTGTGGCTACTTCCTTAACTACATTTACAGCCCCCCATCCTTTGTCCTTCCCTGCCTGCCCCGCTTCTGCCTTCCTCTCCCCTCCCTTCCCCAGCTGTGGGCTGAGCTAGAGACGGGGGCAGAGAGACTGGAGAGATGGTAGGCCTGGCTGAGGTATCGGGGGTGCCCTCCTGGATGGTGCTCTGGGGGTGGGGGGTTCCTGGGAGAGGCAGGACGGCAGGTGGGGGCTGTAGGGTTGCTATGGTACGGTTTGGGGAGTGGTTCTGTATACTCCAGGGAGGAGTAGAGACCTGCCTGGAGGCTTCTGAATCGGTGTGGAGCCCCCAGATGTGACCCCATTTGCTCCCATTCACCCCCTCCCAGGTCTCCTGTGGCCAGGCAGAAAGCAGCGAGAAGCCCAACGCTGAGGACATGACGTCCAAAGATTACTACTTTGACTCCTATGCTCACTTCGGCATCCACGAGGTGAGTATGGACAGACAGCTCCTAAGGCTGCCGAATCTTCCGGGGGGGTCATGTTGGGGAGGCTGGAGCTTCATCTCTGACGCATGCGCCCTGCCTTCCCTGCCAGCGGGCCGCCCCCTCTGCGCAGGCAGAGCTCACACTCCGGGGTCGCCTCGCGCAGCCGTTGCCTGGGAGACCGGGTTAGCCTGGCACTCTACTGGTCCTCTCCTGGGAGGCCGGGTTGGGAGCACGCATGTGCATCTGAGACGTCAGCCCGAGGTCAGGGCCTACCGGTCTTTGCCGCCCTCTAGTGACCGGCAGCGGGACTGTCCCCCAGCGGCTCAAAAGTCTTCTCTACCCCTTTTGCACTTGGTGGACAGTGAGGTCCCAAAAAGCAGCAGAGATGGGGTGGGAAGATTTTTCTCTTTCCTTTTCTTTTTTTTAATTGTTATAAAATATGCTAACAAAATTTACCATTTTCACATGGGCGGTTTAGTGGCTTCGGCTTACTGAGGACTTTTTAAAGTCAAGGCTCTACAAAGGGTTAGACGGCAAAGGTAGAATCTGCCTAAGATGGGATTTTGGTCCATCCAGTCCGATTTCACGTAGGGAAACTGAGGTGTGTGGAAGGGAAATGATTTGTCCCAAGGGGACTAAAGCAGGTTTGAGGACTGAGCCCTTAGTCCTCGAGTTGATCAGTGTGTTGGAGGCCAGGACACCCTGGTTTTCAGCGGGGGACGACTGTCCCCTCATGATCTCTTTGTTCCCACCCCTGCCAGGAAATGCTGAAAGATGAGGTCCGCACCCTCACATACCGCAACTCCATGTTTCACAACCGGCACCTTTTCAAAGACAAGGTGGTGCTGGACGTGGGCTCGGGCACAGGGATCCTCTGCATGTTTGCTGCCAAGGCTGGGGCCCGCAAGGTCATTGGGGTGAGTGTCCTCAGCGGCCGGCCGGGTCTGGGCCTGGGGACAGAAAGGGGGCCCCTTGGGGCTCAGGGATTGGGTGGAGGGGAGTGGGGGTGGAGGGTGGGACTTGGGGGGGGTCTCACCCTCCCTTCTTCCTGGGCCCCCAGATCGAGTGTTCCAGTATCTCTGATTATGCGGTGAAGATCGTCAAAGCCAACAAGTTAGACCATGGTGAGCCCAGGAAGAGAACGGGGTCTTTGGGGAGGGAGCGGGGGATCCCAACTTCCCCGGGGCCCCTCGGCAAGGGAATGAGGGCCATGGAAGTCAAATTCAGGCGTTCATCCCCGAGGCTCTGGGCTGTGGACAGCCCCCAAATCCCACTTTTTCAGAACCCACCACCTGACGAGCCGTCTTAGAATCTGCGTGTCGAAGTCACAAGCTTAGTGCTCCAGTCTTTTATTAAAGAAAAGCTCAAGAAGCAATCTTGAGTTTTTTCAGTGAGTGGTAGTCACGTGGTTGGCACATGAGGCCCAGAGTAAGAAGTCTCCCACCTGACTCTCAGCCACTCTTCTCTAAGCGCAGCCACCACTGCCTCCCAGAGAGGCTCATACCGACGAACAGACGTGCATGTGTGCGTTTCTACACCCACATGCTGGGTTTTAACACCGATTATGTTTCATACGTGCCCTTTGCGAGTTTCATCTGGGTATCATGTATTCAACCCCCTGACACGATGTTGAGAGGATCTTGATTTTTGATGACCGCCACCCTCTGTCTTCACATACACCAGATCTGTTAACCAAGTTCCTGGTCATGGGCATTGGAGCTTCCAAGACTTTCATCCCCCACGTGTAATGTCATCATTAGTCATATATGAACTAATGTTATCTGTGAGGTCAGTTCATAAAAGTAGGGTGGCATGGATCAAAAGTGGAAGAAAGTTGGGCAGAAGCTGCAACATTGCCCTTCCCACCTGTAAGGTTTGAGGGGCAGAGAACATGGGAACATGTGGGTTTTCTTGATATGAGGGCCCTTGTCATTCTAGAAGCTGAAGGGGGGTTTTTTAAAAAAGAAACTAGTGTAACAAATCCCCAAGTTCCCATCACTCAGCTTTAAACGCCTCCTTTTGAAGCAAATTCCCGACTATAAATCCTGCCATGTGTGTCACTAGTAGATAAGGCCATTGTAAAAAACATGACCACAGGAATTTTCTGGCAGTCCAGTGGTTAGGACTGCTTTCACTGCTAGGGCCCCACTTTGATCCCTGGTCAGGGAACTAAGATCCCACAAGCTACACAGCGCAGCCAGAAAAACAAAATATGACCATGGCTGTTAGTGGCAAAATCTCTCTTATTTTTTTAACTAAACCCATGTGTTGACTTTTTTTTTTAAATTTTACTTTGCTGCGTCAGGCCTTAGTTGCAGCATGTGGGATCTAGTTCCCTAACCAGGGGTTGAATCCTGGCCCCCTGCATTGGGAGCACGGAGTCTTAGCCACTGGACCACCAGGGAATCCCAGGGCTGACTTCCAGTAGATTTCAGCAAGGGAGCTGCTCTGCCCCATACAAAACCCTGACCCAGAAGCAAGTGGTCTGCAGATGGTTTGGCACCAGGTTCCCTATGTGTGTGCGAGGCGTGACGGGGAAGGAAGTGGCCGCCTTTCCTGCTCCATGTCCTAGAGTGAAGGGCTGTCTGTGCCAGACCCTGGTCCCACCTGTTAATAGCAAAATCTTAATGTCCCCTAATACCTAATTCACGTCAAGCTTCTGTTCCTGCCTCAGAAATATCGCATGATGAATGAATTTTAAAACTAAATTGACAGGGTGTGGCTTCAGCTCACAGAGTTCTATAAAGATGCCCCAACACAGCCCCCAGCCCTTCCTTGAGAAGACAAGGCTGTCCCAGTGGGGTCCCCAGGCCCTGAGGTGCCCCCATGCCCACCACCCCAGGGGAGGCAGGCAGACAGCTGTCCTCGGGGCTGGTGGCATGTGCCCTTGTCTGCCCACAGTGGTGACCATCATCAAGGGGAAGGTGGAGGAGGTGGAACTCCCAGTGGAGAAGGTGGACATCATCATCAGCGAGTGGATGGGCTACTGCCTCTTCTATGAGTCGATGCTCAACACCGTGCTCTACGCCCGAGACAAGTGGCTGGTGAGGCCTCTGGTGGGGTGGGCACAGCTCGTGCAGGCTGGGGTCCTGCTGTTGAGCCGGTGTCTGGGTCCAGGCAGAAAAGGAAAGCCGTGCTCGGTACTTCCCATCACAGGGACTGAGTACAGGGCCTGGAAGACATCTCCTACATGGATGTTAGGAGGCTCACGGGCGAGATGGAGGGGGCCCAGTACCGGAAGCTAGACTGGGACAGAGATGGTGCTGGAGAACCACAGCAGGCCAGAGGGGTAGGGACTGTGGACCCAGGTGCTGTCGGAGCAGGCCTCCAGGGAGCTGGCGGAGACCTGAACCCCGGGTGGAGAGGAGCCACATGGGATCTGAGGGGCAAGGCGCACTGGGCAGAGGATTTTGGCCGTGCAAAGGGCCTGGGGCAGGAGCAAGTTCGCTGGGTGTTGAGCAGTAGGGAAGCTGCAGTAGAATGAGGATCGGGAGGGAAGTTGGAGGTGAGGGGTGGAGGGGCCTATGCAGGTCTCGTGGGACCGCGTGGACGGGTAAGACTTGCTTTACTCCTCAGAGGGGCGGGGTTAGGATAGGCTCTGACCTAGGTGCTCCTCAGAGCCATCAGGCAGCTATCTGGGGAGTAGATTGAGGCCGGGGACCGGTGAGGCTGCAGCAGGAGCCCACCTGGGAAATGCTGAGCTCAGACCAGGGCGATGTCGGGGGTGGACAAAGAAACAAAATGGGACAACCTTGCCGAGCCCCCCCATCCTTCATGCCCTTGCCCTGTTCCCCGTAGGCACCTGACGGCCTCATCTTCCCAGACCGAGCCACGCTGTACGTGACGGCCATCGAGGACCGGCAGTACAAGGACTACAAGATTCACTGTGAGCTCGGGGCCCGGGGAGCTTACGGGGGGGCACTGGCTGGGTGCCGGTTGCCCGTGGGCTCACCCCTCCGCCCCGCCTCCTCCCCAGGGTGGGAGAACGTGTACGGCTTCGACATGTCTTGCATCAAAGACGTGGCCATCAAGGAGCCCCTGGTGGATGTGGTGGACCCCAAGCAGCTGGTCACCAATGCCTGCCTCATCAAGGTGAGCGGGTAGGGTGGCTGGGGCTCCCTCGGGCTCAACCCAAGAAGAGCCAGCACCTGGCCCACGCATAGGACCACGAGTGCCTGCTTGTCTGTGGTCTCGGGAGCTTATATACACACATGGGTCCCTGATAATACCGACAGCCATCATTTTTCGAGGTTCCCCTTCCCAACCCCCGGTATCAACTCACAAGGATACGGGAGGCAGGCCAAACTAGGTGGAGGAGGGAGTTTGTAGACGGAGATGGGAGGGAGCAGATGCCCTGACCTGGCAAGCCTCCGTGGCCTGAGGCAGGACCCTCGGTTTTACCCTGAGCAGTCAAAAGGATTTTAAGCAGGGCTGTGATGTGATCTGTGTCACGCTGACTGATAAGGGATGTGGGGGGGAGAAGGCGGGAGCCAGGGAACCCTGTTAAGATGCTGCCACAGTGGGGTGGGGACACTGGCCGGGGATAGGTCGTGGAGAGTGGAATCCAGGCGATTCTCCAAGTCCTTCTAGGAGGTCGACCTGTCAGATTTTGGGTTAGGGTTGGGAGAGCAGGGGATCCAGCAGGGCCCCCCAGATTTGACCGCTGGGCTAGAGGTCAGGGAAGGGGGCTCATGAGGCTTTTCCCACAGGAGGTGGACATCTACACGGTCAAGGTGGAAGACCTGACCTTCACCTCCCCCTTCTGCCTGCAAGTGAAGCGGAACGACTATGTGCACGCCCTGGTGGCCTACTTCAACATCGAGTTCACCCGCTGCCACAAGAGGACCGGCTTCTCCACCAGTGAGGCGGGGCGCAGGGGCGCGGGCACAGTGGGGCCTGCCACAGGAGTGGCCGAGGGAGCCCCGGGGGCCTGGAGGCTTCTGACACCAGCCCTGCCAGCCAGCCTGAGCGCACGGTGCTCTAGTCTCTGCACCCGTGAAAAAGCCCGTCCCAGGCTTGATCAGGGTGAAGGGACCACAGTCACCGCCCAGTCTGGAGGCTCTGGAGGGCGAGGGGTCCAGCGGAGGGAAGGTGGGGGTGGGGAAGGGCAGGCGGTGAGGGGGGTGGGCCGGGCTGATGCCGCCCCACGCCCACCCCTAGGCCCCGAGTCCCCCTACACTCACTGGAAGCAGACAGTGTTCTACATGGAGGACTACCTAACGGTGAAGACTGGCGAGGAGATCTTTGGCACCATTGGCATGCGGCCCAACGCCAAGAACAACGTGAGGCTCTGGGGAGTGGGCGGGTGGGCTTGGGCACCTCTCTCTGCCTGTCCTGGGGCCCAGGGACCTCTCGGCCCCAAACCCGCTAGCTAGCCCGGCTACCCTCTGTTCTGCACTCATCTGTCTGGCCTGTGCCCCCCAAACCCCCACCCCTGGTCTGCCTGGGGACCACAGTTTCATTCAGCACCTACTGGAAACCAGGGGGCCTCGGGAACCCAGCCATGATCGGGCCGGACCCCTGCTGTTCAAGTTCTAGACACGAGAGAGTCATGTCAGTGCCAGCTGGTGATGACTTCTGTGCTCAGCTGGGAAAGGGGCCGGCAGGTATTGGAGCAGGTGGAGACGGGCCGGAGGATATCCTGGCCCAAGAGTGGGAGCAAGAAAGGAAAGGGAGGTCTGTTTCATCCGCTGAGGCGTGGCAAAGTCAGGAGCTCAGACATGGGTGGGGGACTCCTGGGTTGGCGGGAGGAAGGTCTGAAAGTTGAGGGGCGTGGCCTGGGCTGGAAATGTCAAATGGTACATCGCTGCGTGAGCTCGGATGGAGGGGAGCACCCCGCGATGGCCCCCACTTTCTAAGTCAGGGAGGTTAGAGCCAGTTTCAGCAGCTGTTCTCAGCCAGGGATGATATTGCACCCCCCGCCCCCATCATGTCATCATCTGGAGACATTTTGGGTGCCACAGTTGAAGAAGGGGCATGGCTGGCATCAAGTGGACAGGCGGGGGAGCCGCTCAGTCTGCAGGGCACAAAATAAGACTCCCTCACAGGAAAAGAGTGGTCCAGTAATGCAAAGGCTGAGAAAACTCAAACCAGAAACTGAAAGAGACCCAAAGAGGGAGGAGGGAGCCGGGAGTGAAGTGCAGTGAGGTCCGAGGGGGGCAGCAGTTCTTGAGGTCATTGGTGGCTTTGCCCCAGTCTTTCCAGGGGGTGCTGGGGGCCCAGGCCACAGGGTGAGTCCCAGGAGGGTTGGCCTCCAGGAAGCTTTGGAGGACAGGAAGAAGGGACGGCGGGGTGGGGCCCCGGAGTTTTTTGAGAGGAGGAAGTTTGCTAGAGAGAGGTTTGCTTCTTGTAAAAGAAGAAAGAAATAACTTTTGCTGATGGGGATAGTTTTGATAAAGGAAATCTTATGATGCAGGAGACAGCAGCTGCCCCTCCCTTCCCCCTCCATCCCTCACCCCCCCGCCCAAAGGCGAGGGATTGGCTGGGTTCCAGGTGGTTTTGAGGATATCACGTTGGAAACCTCATGGGGAATTCAGCCCTGGTCGAGACACATGCTGGGTGTGGGAGCAGCAATGTGGCATCTCCAGGGAGGGTGTGTGGACAGTTGGGGGCCCACGGCACTTTGGGCAAGCTATGCTGTCCTCCCCTTCCCCCACTGCCCTGTCTGCCCGCCCTGTCCCAGTCCCCCCTCACGGCCACACTCTCCCCACAGCGTGACCTGGACTTCACCATCGACCTGGACTTCAAGGGGCAGCTGTGTGAGCTCTCCTGCTCCACTGACTACCGGATGCGCTGAGGCGGCGCCCGGCTTCTCCCACCCCAGCCAGGCTGGCCCTGCAAGGGCCCAGGGGCTGCGGCGTTCTTAGGCGGTTTCGGGGCTCCCCCTTCCTCTCCCTCCCTCCCACAGAAGGGGGTTTTAGGGGCTGGGGGTGGGGGGGGCACATCGTGACTGTGTTTTTCATAACTTATGTTTTTATATGGTTGCATTTACGCCAATAAATCCTCAGCTGGGACGGCCGCTCAGCTTCCTGGGGGCACGGTGGGGTCGGGGTTCTGTCTGCTGGTGTCTGAACCGCCCAGAGCACAGAGGCAGCGCCTGCTGGCCGGTGCAGGTCTCTGTCAGCACTTCTGTGTCTCTGGGTCTTGCTACTTTTCCCCAGCCTCCCGGATTCCACAACCTCCACTCTCAAGTCCCACCTGGTCCTCAGCTCACTCGCAGGGTGGTCTCCATTGGCTCTCAGAGTCTGTGCCCCCCAACCCCCTCTAATGTGTCCCTGTCGCGGGGCCTCTGTGCCGGCCCGGGGGAGGGCTGGGGTGTGGATTCCCAGCACAGCTGGGCTCTGAGGTTTCCCAGAAGGCCTCTCTCCCGCCTTCCCCCATCACACACATTGTTCCTCTCAGGCTGTTTTTTCCTGTCTAGGACCCTCCAAGGCCAAACCAAGGCTGATTGGCAGTGCCTGCCGCCCTACCCTCTCCACCTGGGGAAACTGAGTCGGGGGGAGGGGTTCAGAGAGTTCTTTGTGGGGGTGGCTGCCTGCTTCCTCCCCCAGCCTGGCTTGGAACTCAGGGGGTTCCCACCGTAGAGATGCACGGTGAGACCCCACTGGCCTTCCCTGCTCCCAGTGACTGGCTCTCCAGCCTCTGCTGCAGATGTGGTGCCTGCGCCTGCCCACCCTGCCCTTCCCAAGGCCATGTCCAAAGTCACTGGCCCCCTAGGTCTCTGTCCACACGATCTGGATCACCCTAGACAGAACCCATGACTTCTTTCCATGGCCTTCCTACAGCTGCTTCAGTAGAGCTGAAACGCTTCGCCTGCTGGCACCCCACAGCCATCTGCACACATTCCTCTTCTACCAGAATGGTGTTAGGGCCCAGGCTGCCTCCACGACTTGAGGTGCCTCAGTTTGCCGCCTGTCAGAATTGTCAGTGCCCCTCATTGCCCAGCCCCCACTCTGGAAGTCGCCTGTCCCTGACACTGCTCTGCCAAGAAGAGGGTGAAATCGCGCCTTGCAGCATCCCCGCCCCCAGTCCTTTCCAGGAAGCCCTAAACTGCGTCGCCACTTGCAGGTGTCAGCTGCCCCGCCCCTCCTCCCTCCGCCTTAAAGGGGTCGCGTCTCCCGGGGCCTCCCAGGGGCATCGACAGCACAGCGGGTCCCGTGAGCTCTCCTTGGCCGTGGTGTGTGAGGTGGGCATCCGAGTCCTAGTCCGGCCCTTCTGGAGTGGTGTGGCTCATTCGGCCTCAGTTTGCACAGTCTGAGAAGTGGGAACGCCCTGATTTCCTGGCTCTAAAGCAGGTGCTCAGGGCATTTTCCAGGCCCGGGGAGGGGGCGGGGCCGCACCCCGGAGGAGCCGCTTCGCCCACCGGTTTCTCAGACGCCGGCCCGCCCCACCCCCACGATGACCGCCCACATCCTCCTGCTGTTACTCGTCGCCTCCTCCATCCTGGGGGACCCGGACTCGGCGGGAAGGTGAGAAACGCCGAGGGCAGCGGGGACGGGGCGGGAGGGAGACCGCGGGGGCCGTGCGCCCTCTCTAGGCCGTTTTCCGCTTCGGTGGAATGGGAAGTTGGCCAGGAAACGGGCCCCGCCGTCTCGGAGTTCTGGGTACTCCCCGAGCCCCCTTTCTCGAGTGGGGTGTTTGAACCCGGTCTTCTCCCACGCTCCATCCCCAGGCGGCCCCAGCCCCACGTCTCCCAGCAGCGCGGGCGCCTCTGTTCCCTGGGCACGTGCCAGACCCACCGCCTGCCAGAGATCATATACTGGCTCCGGTCTGCCTCCACCAAGGAGCCCTCAGGGAAGGCTGGCCGCAAGCCTCAGGATCCCCACAGCTACGGGCGCCGCCGGCGGCGCGAGGCCAGAGTCCCGCTACGTCTCCAGGACCCCAGCCTGCGGCAAGGCCAGAGCAGTACCCAGCTCGCTGGGTGATGCTGGGCACATCTCTGCTCATCCCCTGGCTTCAGTTTACCCATCTATGTATTGGGGCCGTGACCTCAAGTTTCAAGACCCCCTAACTCCACCTCCTGGGCTCTCCCCGCGCTGTGACTGGGCTGGACCCACGTGCACACCGGCCCCAGCAGGGACAAAGAATATTAACGTCCAGAGCTGAATAAAACGAGAGTTCCGTGTTTCAGTTGGCTTGTCTGTGCCCATTCTGGCCTCCCAATTTGAGCCTGGTCTCTATATTCTCCGCTTTATCCACTCAATTTCCCCCCCAACGGAAGCCCCTCTGATTAACTTGAATCCGACCCGCTGTAGCACCTCCACGCCAACTCAGCCCCTGCAGCCGCATCTTCCGTGGGTGGTTTTGGTGGGTCTACCGGACCCCAAAGCAGTCCCTTGCCTCCCCTGAGTAGTGGGGCTGAGATTCGCTCCGGCTCCCACGCGCGTGGGCTGAACTCTAAGCTGATCTTCTTTCCTCGAAGAGAAAGAGAAAAGAGACAAAGAGTGGACTCGGGAGCCGAAGAACCTGGGGTTCGGAGGAAAGGTGCTGCGTAGAACAGGGGAGGGCCCAATGGTGGAGAATCAGGCGGGTAGGAGTCTGAAGGCAGGGGATGCAATGGAGGCAGGGGATTGGACGCTGGAATTTGAAGGGGGCGGGAACTGAGCGCAGAGAATTTAAGAGGGCGGGGATAAAACCCGGGGCTTGAATACCCTGCGAGGAACCCGAGAGACAGAAATTGGGGTTCCTGGATGTTGGATAGTCGGAGGCGACGGGAGCTCCGGAAGCGCATCAGCCAAGACGTGGACTCACAGCACTGGGACTGGACATATGCAAGTGGGAGGCTCCAGTCCGGCGCTCTAAATAGGGGGCGGGGGTGTGTGTGCTCGGGCTTTGTCTAAGACCGATCGGCGGACCCCTGATTCAGCGTGGTAAGTGCCGGACTGTAGGGGCGCGAACTCCTGGGGCCGGAGGATTGCGTCTTGGTCTGGGAGTGCGGGCATCTCCATCACTTGTCCTCGACGCTCGCCTCTGCTCTCAGCCTCAGCATCCCCGAGGCATGCGCAGCAGTGTGCTTCCTCCCCCATCCCCTTCAGCCCGGGGCTGGGGGAAGGGACGCTGGGTCACCCCAGAACGCATGAATTTATAGAGAACCCCCCCTCAACTCTCCCCCCCCCCACCCGCTACAAGTCCCCCACCCCCAGTCCTTGCCTCGGAATGGGAAGCGGAAATGAAGTGGACAGTGCCAACGTCCGGCAGGTGTTCATTTCAAAATCGGTTTGGGAATAATGTTTTTCCCGATATCCCGCAACTCACCCTGGACCAATTTCCCGCCTCGACCCCCAAATCTTGAAAGTCCTTTGGAGGGGGCCACTGTCCCCGCACCACTTTCTCAGAATAACCACAAAAGGAGTTAACGCGAATTATCCGTCCTGCCTTTCTGTGCGTTCACAGAGGTCCCCGGTTGAGGTACCCCCAACACTGGAGTCGACGGCCAGGACCCTCAAGACCCCTCAGGTGTTAGGGAAGGGTGAGCTGGCGTCCTACATTCCTGGGTCTGCGGAGAAGGGGCTGGGGGTCTGGGGAATGACCCTCTGTCCTCCTCCCAGGGTCCCAGGGCTGTAGCCTGACATGGCTGAAGCTCACCAGGCGGTGGGCTTCCGACCCTCACTGACTTCGGACGCGGGGGAAGTGGAGCTCGGTGCCCCGGTGTTGCAGGAGATCTACCTCTCCGGACTGCGCTCCTGGAAAAGGCATCTCTCCCGTTTCTGGGTGAGAAGGGCGGCTACTTGGTTTCCTTCCGGGAATCCAGTTACCTGCTTCCGGGATACGCGAGGCTCCCTTCCGGGCATCCCGGGTGGTTCTGCTTCTGGGAGTTTTCAGGTCCACTTCCAAGACCCCTTAAAGCCAATTCCGGATTCTCTGTGGCTCACGGCTGGGTTCCTCAACCTCACCTAGGAGAACTGCCATTCACCTGTGGTACCCACTTCTTGAACGCCCTTCATGCTCTCCTCACACACACCTGCAAACACAACTTCGACCCCAATTTCTAGATCAGTCCCCTTACCTGTTGTGCACCTCTGACCTTTCCCTTTCATCTCCAGGCTCTAAACGAGATGCTCTCCATTCCAGAACCCCATGGACTGATCAAGGTCTTGGGTAGCCCACACCGCAGTCCTGAAGGCCCCCTTTCCCAAAGCCCTTGCCCACTGGCTCTGCCACCTCCTTGCCCTGCTCTCAACCCCCAGTACCCTTCCGGTATGTGGTTCACCCTCCCCCTGGTCTGAAATGTGAACCTCCACCCTCTGGATCCCAAACTCCCACTTCTTGCCTTTGCCCTAGAATGCCTTAGAATGCTCACATCCACCTAGAACCCATGTCAGCCCTGGGGTCCCCAGTTCTAGAAGTCTGGCACCATCTAAGGAGTCTCCCTGGAGAAGGAAATGGCAGCCCACTCCAGTATTCTTGCCTGGAGAATCCCAAGGACAGAGGAGCCTGGCGGGCTACAGTCCATGGGGTCGCATAGTTGGACGTGATTGAAGTGACTTGGCATGGGCTCATGGAGTCTCCCTGCTGACCACACCCTGTCTGTGAACATAGGTCTTGAATGCTTTTGGGGTCCATCAGGACTGGGTTTGAGTCCTGACTCTGCCACTGACTAGCTGTGTGGCCTTGGGCAAGCGTGTCTCTCTGAGCCTCAGTATCTCCACGTGTGAAACAAGAGTGATGGTAGCACCTCCCTTACGGCACAGTTGCAAGGGTTAAAGAAACTCTCACATGCAAGCCCTGAGTCAAGTGCTTGGCCCATGGCAACTACTGAGGGTTAGTTTTTTTGGCTGTACCTTGAGGCATGTGGCCTGGAGAAGGAAATTGCCATCCCCTCCGCTAATCTTGCCTGGAAAATTCCATAGACAGAGGAGACTGGCGGGCTACAATCCATGGGCTGCAAAAAGTTGGACATGATTGAGCACAAGGCATGTGGAACTTCCCCGACCAGGGTTTGAACCCTCACCCCCTGCAGTGGAAGCAAGGAGTCTTCACCTCTGCACCACCAGGGAAGCCCTCTGAGTGTTAGCTTTTGATTATAATATGGTTCTTCATTTGCCAAATATCTGTGGAGCATTTCTGAGGGGCCTGGCACCATTTGGGGCACTGGTGACTTGGCAGGGAGCAAGACAGACAGAGTCCTGCCCTCATGGAGTAGATAAGTACTCAAAACATAGAGTATGTCAGATGGTGACGTGAGGACGATCATGTGGGCAGGGAAGAGGGAGCATGGAGGGGTTAGAATACACCCCGGGGGCAGCCCAGGGTTCTCTCTGGAAGCTGGAACATTTGAGCAGGCTGGATAGCACTTCTATGGCCATATTGGTTGTTAAAATGATTGTTAAAATAGAAATGTATCTGCTCCAGCAAGTAAATAGCCACTAACCCAAACCCCCAGAGAGCCCCTCTCAGCCCTACTTCTGGGAACCCCTGGGCCTCAGGCCAATCCAGCAACTAAAGTGTTAACTTGTGGTTAAATACATAAACACACACGTATACACACATAAATAGGTATTTAAACTAAGATGTAATTATACACAGAAAAACAAGGATTTTTTAAGTGTACAGTCCTTGAATTTTGTAGTATCTTTGTAACTGGGGTAATACCTATGTAACCAACTTTCCAAGAAAACAGCACAGCCATCATTTTAGAGTGTTCCTTAGAGCTCTTTTCCTGCCAGTACCCCTTACCTCACCCTTGTGCAAGGCAATCACCATTATGATTTCTATGCTTATAGATGGATTTGAACTGGTGTTGCTATGTTGAAAAATTTTAACTGTAACGCCTGTATTCAAGTCAGCTCTGAAACTCCTTTCTGACTCAAATGTCACTGATGGCCAGTGGCCCCACCAGACACTCATGTTAGTATAATTGATCATTGTAATAGTGACCCTTTCCTTTCAGCCACAAAGCTGCCTCTCAACCTGATGGCCACCTGGAGTTCTCACATCCTTCCTCTCCAATCAGGGGCCCCAGGAACCACCCTGAAGCCGTAGCTCCTGGAACTGGGTCCCAAGGTGAGGGCTGTGCCCTCAGCAACACCAGAGCTGTAATTCCATAGACTCATTGCTAAGCCTGAATTTCTTCACTTAAAAAATGGGAATCTTGACAGTCCCTGCCTTGAGGGACTGTTGTAACCATTAGTTGTCTTAGGAAAAGGTCTGACTCACAGAAGTCACCACTTCAGCATTGCCGTTCTTATCTTACATACCACATAGGTTCTATGTGACCTCTGAGGTGTTAGTAATTTCTCTGGCCTTCTGCTTCCTCTTTTCTAAAACCATACTAGATAGTAATAGATCTCAGGCTCTATACCAAGCAAACCCTTTGAATCTATTGCTTATCTGGCCATCATTAAGACCTCTTTTTTGGTCATGCTGAGCCACTTGCAGGGTCTTAGTTCCCTAATCAGCTAATCAGAGATTGAACGCTGGCCATGGCAGTCCTAACCATTGGACCACCAGGGAATTCCCTCATTTAGAGCCTTCTAAGCAGAGACATTACTTTGCCAACAAAGGTCCGTCTAGTCAAGGCTATGGTTTTTCCAGTGGTCATGTATGGATGTGAGAGTTAGACTGTGAAGAAAGCTGAGCGCCGAAAAATTGATGCTTTTGAACTGTGGTGTCGGAGAAGACTTTTGAGAGTCCCTTGGACTGCAAGGAGATCCAACCAGTCCATCCTAAAGGAGATCAGTCCTGAGTGTTCATTGGAAGGACTGATGTTGAAGCTGAAACTCCAATACTTTGGCCACCTGATGGGAAGAGCTGACTCACTGGAAAAGACCCTGATGCTGGAAGGGATTGGATGCAGGAGGAGGAGGGGACGACAGAGGATGAGATGGCTGGATGGCATCACTGACTCTATGGACATGAGTTTGAGTAAGCTGTGGGAGTTGGTGATGGACAGGGAGGCCTGGCATACTGCGATTCATGGGGTCGC